TACAAATATATATATATATATTTTCCAAATCAGAAAGCAGCTTACATGCTACACTGTTGCTTAGTTAATGTGTGCAGATCAGGGGAAGATTGTATGAAACCAATGGAAAACCTGCAGAAGAACGTTGTGCAAATTATAACTGTATCAGGTTGTTTTCATCCCACTAATGAAATATGTCTTACATTGCATACTTTAAATAATGTGATTTAGCAGAGCCCAGAACTGCTTTATATGTACAAAGTCTATAATAAAGTCTTTTCAGTGTAAATACTGAACTGATTTCAGAAGGTAAGGCCAAATATTTATTCAGGTGTGGGATCATTATTGTTCAGAGTTAAAACTGTGTTTTTCTCCATTTAAATAAAAAACTAACAAAAGACATGCTAAATTTACGAGACAATTGAAACAAGGGAAATCCTCTGCTGTCATAAATCTGTTTCAAATCCGTCCTCCTCTCTTCCAGGTCCAATGCACTGAGTCCTCCGAGTTCCCAGCATTCCCTTCTGCACAACAGCACTCGACTGAATGGTGATAACAATAAGGATGATGATTATCGTGGGACGAACACTGTGTTGATCGGTCTGAGTTTGGGATCTGGAAGCAGTAACCTTAGCATCCCCTCCCTCCCCCTCCGTTCCTCTCCCTGTTTTAGCCGTACCTGGTCTCCCTCGGTCTTTCCGTCGTCCTCCCTGCTGATATCCAGTACATTGACAATTCCAGAGAGCTGATGGGCTGTGATGTAACCTGTCAACTTGAGATAAATGCTTATAAATGGAAATAAAGTATAAAAGAATTGGTGTGAAAACAAACTGATGCTCTTGTTTTGTTTTGTTTTTAATGCCTGTATTGTAGGATGTGTCGCCTGGTTTCCACTGGGCGGTATAGAGTCGGGTGTCGACGTGGTTCGGTGCGCCGCCATTTTGTCCGATTGCACACAGCGACAAGTCGATTGCAAGTTTTTATTTCCTGCTCTGTGGGAACATTTCGAGGATTTGAGGACAGCTCTGTCCAACACACACACCAAATGCTTAGAAAACCTTAAACCTTTAGACGCAGCCTGACGAGAACACCTTCAGGATGAGTTAGAGAAGAGACTCTACGTACTTGATCAAAGCAGAAAAGTCGACTCTGAGTCAGGTGGTTGAGGACTGTTCGTTTTCGTACACCGCCGACAACTGGAATTGTCTCGTACACGAAATGTACGATACAGATAAACCTTTAGCCTTCTCGTCCGTCATCAACATCTGGCCTCACCAAAGACTTCTGGCAGACTGCCTTCCTACAAGAGCTACAACTGTCATAGTCGTATTAAGAAAGGGGTCATTAAAGTTAATGTCAAGCATCTCAATTCAAGCAGTTCTATATTGTGTCAGTGCTGAAAGGTCGTCAGCCCCACCGAGAAAGAGCCGAGGGATCAGATTCTGACAAGCACACCCAAGACCGAGCAGCTGTCCTGGACTGTCCCAGAGGGTCTCGTTTGTTCACACGCTTCCTGCATTCACATAACCGTGGGAGGTGTTTGTTAAATCTACTGTGAACATGTCACAAAATGTACGACAAAGCACAAAAAATAAGCAACTATTTTTATTAAATATACCAAGAAACACAAGCAGAAGCTAAAGTCACTCTTGTCTAACGTCTAAGCTCAATAAATTATAACGTCAAGGAAAACTGTATGGCATTTGTTTGAAATGGTTAGACTCATGCACCTGATATGAATTCATAACATCAGGATGTAACTGTGGTAAATCGCATATGCCTTCAGAAATCAACCAGTCTGTCGTATCTGTTGAATCATCGGTCTGAAGGAGGGATTCCTTCCGGATTGTTCAGAAATACTGAAAATGTTTTGTAACTAAAATATGAACATTTTGATAACTGAGATGGATCGAGAACTGTATTTCCTTGTAACCGTTAGAAACGCACCGACCACCGATATTACTACCTGCATCGGTCCAAATATTGATAAGAAATTCCATCCGGTGTCACAATACCCATCAGATCTATTCAGTCTGATTCTATACTTTGCCCTGTGACCGATAACAAACAATACATGCTTTGCTATTTATTTCACATTAGATTTAAAATTTCTAATTGCACTTTCTAAAGTAACTGAAAGAAGGTTTGTTGAAGCTTATTTTTCATGTTCCATCAACATAATCACTTTAACACCTGGCATCGCTTCGGTGAGTGACATCATGAAAAAAATCTGAATAAAATCTGCAAATATGTCAAGAGATTTACATCGTTCATAATGACTTTTTCACCAAAGAATTTGACAGGAACAAAAACCAACATGTTCATTGTAATTGTTCTGGATTTTTCATCACAAAGTTTGGACCTGCGTGAGGAAACACCCTGGAATCCAGGAGGACGATCCATCTGACTAAAACACACCATCAGCAGTGAGAAGATCTGCCAACAGCATCTTCTTCCATTTGTAATAACATGAAGGACCAAAAACAAACCAAATAAAAATCTAACACCGCCATCTTGTGGTTGAGAACATGCACTTACATTAGCAGGAGTGACCCAGGTTCTTCATGTAACAGTAATTCTATGGGGGAAAGTGTATGGCGAATAAAAGAAAAATATAAACAGAGAGTCTTTATACACTTTAAATGGAAAAGTATGAAAAAAAAAACACATTTCCTGTATTTCAGCTCTTTTCCGAAAGAACAGAGGGATAGAGCCACTGGGAGACGTTTAAAAACATGAAAAGCATTAAGATAGAAAAACTCCAGAGACTCTTTGCTCTGAAAACACGTTAAATATTCTGCCCACATACATTTTTTACATTATTAACAAGAGAAATTTGGTCTGCTTTTGCTTCAGACAGCAACAATAATAAATAAAAACTCAAACTTTGATGTCTTTTACTGGGATTTTACAAGACAAGCATGGAGCAAACAGCAGTGGAAGGAAAATGCAACATGGTTTAAGTTTGACAAAGATACATCTGATAAGTGTGGCTTGCATTCATAGTGGCTCCACCTGAATTAGTACTCTGGAGAACCGCATCTTGCAGAAACTGCAGCCACGAGTTCGAACGTCTAAAAACTCAAAATGTCAAATGTCGGAGCCAAATGTCTTCACACCATTTCTCAAGATCAGTCACTCCTGTTGAGCAAATCTTGACCCAAATTCTCAAACACATTTAGGTTTGGACTTTGACTGGACCATTCCACCGGATGGCCCTTATCAGAACAAAGGGCCCGAGTCAGCAGCGCCGGATTGGTTTCTGAGGTCGGGGGGTCATGTCACGCGCACTTGTTCAATTGATAAGATGACACCTGTCAATCAATTCAGTGGGTTTGTCGCAATTTGTCCCGAAGTGAACAACAACGACTAAAACAGAAATAAAGATGGTGATAATCGCCCAGCAATCACTAACCATCGACTCCTCTGTTGTGATTTGATTTCATTTCCAGTTGCAGAAACCGAGGAATTAAAATCATTATTATTTGTCTTAATATTATTATTATTATCATTCATGATGCTGCCTCAGCAGGTCAGAGAGAGAGGAATGTTTGTGCACTCACACACACACACACACACACACACACACACACGCACACATGCACACAACCGATGGATAATCTGAGCTGCATGCATCAACCTGACCACATCCAGAGATTAAGATTAACGTGGATTAATCTTTAGGAATCCACATCATGCAGCTATCACAATGTGGAGCCTGGTCTCACACACACACACACACACACACCCACACACACACACACACACACCCGCCCCTACACACACACACCCACACACACCCACACACACACCCACACACAGATTTGTGATGTCTGATGCAGACATCACAAATCTGGTAGTGGGGAAGTGCAGCCGGTAGCCCGGGTTAGCCTGTTAGCTCGTTGACAAAATCAGATTTATTTCATTCTTTATTTTCAGTTTTACTATTAATTCAAGAAGAATTATTCACATGCAGACTGTTTTTCTTCTGCACACCGAATGCAGATTACGTCCTGTCGGTCTAATCCTCCTGATAACTAAACTGGGGCTTTAATACCGTTCCTAAAAAGAGAAAATTAATATTAACATAATACGTTTTCTCCATTTGACTGCGCAGCTAAGCTGCATATTTGTAAAATCTTCAGTCTGAACAAGAGAGCCAGCCATCTGGCACATTTTCACCATGATAAACACTTGTTTGACTGTCAAACCAATTGTGTTCTCCTGTTTTTCTGTAATTACATTATTATATTTGCAATTATGATTACCTTCCTCGGTTTTCATGTCCTTTTATTGTGCCAAAGTTCCACACGTCAATGAAGTTCAAGGTTTCCGAGCCCCGTAAATGTCAGATTTGTGTGTTTTTTACCAAATATTAAAGATTACATTTTTTTTATCCTTCATGCTTAATATCACACTGTAGGCTCCTAAACCCTCGTCTCAGTAATCCTCCAAAAGCTGTTTCTTCTTCTGACCACAGTAAGATAGATAGAAAATCTATCTATCTATCTATCTATCTATCTATCTATCTATCTATCTATCTATCTATCTATCTATCTATCTATCTATCTATCTATCTATCTATCTATCTATCTATCTATCTATCTATCTATCTATCTATCTATCTATCTATCTATCTATCTATCTATCTATCTATCTATCTATCTATCTATCATATGAGGTTTTTGTTATTTTATTTCCATCTCTGTATCACATTAATTCTTGTTGTTATTTATTTGCCTGTGTGAGCATTTAAACATTTTTTATTTTTTCATTTCTAAGCAGCATCAGCCAGACTGGGGGTCCCACCGGAAGTGGGGAAGTGTTTCGCCCTCGGCGCTCTTCGTGCAAGAACCGCCACTGGTTCACTAAAATCAAACCTCCTTCCGTTCTTCTCTCTCAAAACCTTTTGTTTTCTCATTTGTCGTGACTTTGATTCTGAACTTCCAGTTGAGATTAATAGATGTTTTTTTCTTTTTCTTTTTTTGTGGCGGGTGACACACTGGAAGTTGCCTTTCAGAAAGGGAGCAGGGTGGGGCCGCATCGCCGGAACCCGGATGCTGATGCTGACCGATGGAGAGCAGGAAGCTGGAGAGAATGAAGAGCTAGAGGAGTGTAAAGAGAGAGAGGGGGAACCGGCTGGAGGGTTAGCAGCAGCAGCAGCAGCGGTACCGGTACCGGCCTGCAGCAGGACAGGGACATCCAGACAGCGAAGCGCAGCTCCTGTGGATCTGTGTCCGCGTTGAGGAGCAGAGCGCCGGCCTGCTTGACTTGTTTGTGCATCATCTGCGCCGGAGATGCGGTAACATCATGAGCACAGCCGTCCAGAGAGGGAGGAAGCAGAGAGGGGGGGAGCGCTGGGGAGTCGCCAGCTGAGGATGCTTGTTGTTTCTAGAAACCAGCTCGACCGTCGGAGCGAGTTCTGATCCACCTCCAGCAGCACCGGCGCGGGGCAAGAGCCCCTCCCCGCCGCAGCCGCCCCGAACCCGGGGGCGCATCGCCTGTCTGCCTCGGCCTTCCCGGAGCCTGTGGGGTTTTTGTTTTTTCTCTTCTGAACGCTCACCCTCCTCTTCCTCTGTTTCCTGATGCAGGGCCGGGGAGGGGGTGAGCCCAAGTGTGCACCGGATATTGGAAAAGCCATTCTTCCTGCTCATGCCTTAGTGATCGCAGATTATAATCTGGACGACAGCAGGCAGACGAGGCCCCGGGGCTCGACGGGACAGGAGCCGGGACATGCGTGACGCTGGGAGGACCACGGGAACATGTTTAGACGGCGGCAGGGGCAGCAGTGAGGCGCTGGGGGTCCCTGATATCGATCCTCGGGATGGATCCGATCGGGCCGTTCTGACTCGGGTTATTTGAGACTGCACTCTTAACAGAAATCAATCCGAGGCTGAAGCAGCCTTCCTGTCCAGCTCCCCGCATGAGCTTCTCCTTTCCTGCTCCACTTTGGCAAACTATTAGCTGGATGCAGACGTCATCTCCTCCCACCTCTCCATGTGGATGATGCTGCATTCCGAGCGGCGCTGAAAGGGAACCGATCCGGACCGGACCGCATGACAAGTTGAAGGGTGTAGCCTGCAGGCGCCACCCCACCTCCCCCCCCCGTCCCGGCTTCGGATCACGACCAGTTTAGTCTTTTTTTATTATTATTATTCCACCGCGCGCCCGTGCGGCGGCGCGCACGTGATCTTGATCTGCCGCGCAGCTCCGCTGGGGGGGTTAAAGTCGACTCCTGGCAAGAATGAGCAGCAAAGAGATCACGGTGGGCCAGTCCAGCCAGTACGTGGGGCCTTACCGGCTGGAGAAGACCCTCGGGAAGGGGCAGACAGGTAGGGTCCCGATTTAAATTCACCCATGCAACTAAAACCAGAGGCGGTGCAACGCTGTCTAGGGAGGCCCCATCACAGCCAGACTCAGTGCAAGTGTTAGTTAGATTCATTTGTAGACCAATGCCCAATTTAATGTTTTCATAAAGCCAATTAAACTCCAGTTTGATTTGTATTTATTAACTGTATCAAACAGGGATGCAGGGTGAAGGCTGCAACAGGCTGATACCAGTTGACAGTCAACGACAAAGCAAGTGTCCCTAACATTTATTTAGTAAAACAGTTCATTGTGAATATGATGAAAGGCCTGACTTGAACTGTTCCATTCAAATCCAAACTTTCTCACTGCAAATGAGCCAAACCCTCCTGTTCTCCTCCACACCTGTGGGGGGCGCTGCATCAAGAAGGACCCAGCACAAAAACCTCTGGAGACGCTCGGCGCCACTTCCTTCTTCACCAAATGTGAACAAAATATGGAGTGGCGTCAGATTTTAGCGGTTGTTGGATTCCTCTTCCGTCTCGGTCAGAAGACCACGAGGCGTTTCTCCCGCCGACTCCAGAGGCATACGTTTGGTTTGGCTGTATTTACCCACAATGCCCTGCGCCATAGTCCACTTCCTGCTTTTCATACATATCTAAACATGAAAACAAAAGTGATGTGTTGCAGAGTTGATATTTTTCACGTTCAGAGATTTTTAAATCGCGTCGCAGAGATTAGCACTGCTAGCATTAACCTCCTCTGTGTGTTTTCCCAGAGAACGTAGATCCTGCCACAAGGCGGCCATTTTTAACTCCATCATGGTTCAAGAAGTTTTTGCGTCTCTTAATGCATTTCTAATACTTCATGAAAAAAATGCTTAAGTGGCTAAATAAAAAATCTGTGGAATGTGTCAAAGTTTTCCCAGATTAATCGATTAATCATCAGAATTGATGAAGAAAAGAATTGTTAGTTGCAGTCCTAGTTATGAGTTACATACCTGGATGCCAACCAGATTCACTTCAATGACACGTGTGGAATGAGTGGCTTTTATTTGAGGAGCGTTTGTGACACTGTCAGAAAAGATAAATAAATAATAAACATGTTCTGAATTATTCATGACTTTTTCCTTCCTTCCTGTTCCCCCTCTGTCCGCCTCTCAGGCCTGGTGAAGCTGGGAGTCCACTGCATCACCGGGCAGAAGGTGGCCATAAAGATCGTGAACAGAGAGAAGCTCTCCGAGTCGGTTCTGATGAAGGTACGGCGCCCGGTGCCTGTCGCGTTGCTCTGCAGGAGCAGCAACAGGAGCGGTTGGTTAGTTTATGTCAGTAAAAAGCCTGCCGGTGCGTCTCAGGGCCGCTGAGTGTGTGGGCACTGCCGCTCTGCGCTGAACAATAGCAGCGATTTCAGTCTGCTGATGAAGCTGCTGCAGACAAAAAGGACTGAAATAAAAAGCTCTGCTCGACCCCGGCGTCTTTGCCGCGGCTGCAGACAGGGAACGGGGAGTGTTGTCTCGCCCAGAACCTTCAGGCTGCGGCGGGGCAGTATGGACTTCAGTGTTTTGTGATGCTAATTTAATAAAAGTGAGCATAAGAAACTATTTGCCACCTTTTCTTTAGCAAACATAAACACAAACAGTTCTATGTGCAATTAGCTATTTTTAGGACATGTAAAGACGTGTGTTTAATATCACTAAAATGCACACATGAGGTTTCCTATTGGCTGATGCCAAAAAACTGAATTTCAATGTAATTTCATATCTCTGCATCAGCGCAGCATGCTTAAACACAACAATAGCTTCATGTCAGTTTGGTCACACAAGTAAAAACAGCACAACTTTAACTTGTTCAGTGTTGTTGAACAAACTGGGAGCACACTGAGGAGTAGAGACATAAAACAATCAATAGGGAAACTGAAACTGACAAAGACAACAAGCTCGGTCAAGCTTGTAAAAAAAAACTGCAACAAACCTTCTTTCAAGTCGTTCAGAAAGGGCCATTTGAAATTCTAAATATAATGTAATATAAATAATAAAGCATCACGCGGCTCAGAGCACGAAGCATAGAATTAGACTGAATAGATCTGATGTTACGGAATGGGAACATCGTCACCGATGCCCTGTCTAGATTTTTTTCAATATCAAGACTGATGCAGATATTAATATTGGATCGGTGCATCTTTAATATTTCTTGATGCACCTTTGCTGAGCAAACCGAATTCTAGCTCCTATGGTCTGGCCTTCTGTTTGGATTTAATCTAAATCTCTAGCGAAGTTTTAGCCTCTATGGAGAGAAAACAAAAGGTTAACAGTTGGAATAACATCAGTTTAAGCAAAATCGGAGAGCAGCAGAATAAGGAAGTGAGGAAAATTGTCAGTTTGTCCTCCAGTAGCCTGATCCTGTAGCGTCATACAGATTTCGCTCCGATTGAGCCAACTCCTTAGAATGAGACTTGAGAAAACCAGATAAGCACGTAAAATCCAAGCGAACTACTCTGCACTGCATTTGTAATGTAACAAAAGAGTAAAAAGGTTGAAAGAGGAATGAACACTGCTCCTCTGCCCTGTACTTCACACCGTGGCTCAGCCCCATGGAGCCCATTGAAAGGACAGGGAGCATTAGTGTTCAATACCCAATCCCTGAGTGTGGAGTGAAAATCAATGATGGGCCTCGTGTTCTCCTCTGAGGCAGAATATTTCAGGGCTCGTCACAGACAGCTGCCTCTGCTGATGCCACAAATGACTGACTGGCTTTGGGAGCCAAATCAGTCAGTCAAAGCAATCAGTGTGAATATTTGTCAAAACTTTGAAATAATTTCGCTCTTTTGAGAGTGAAGGTTTGCTGTCCACATCCGGACATTGATATTTTCGGAGCACTTCCGAGTCACAGTTGATATTTAGTAAAGTGGAGTTCAGTGGGACTGCTGGGATCATCAATATTGTCAATCATCTCAGAGCTACAGCTTTATCAGTGGAGTTCAGTTCGCACCAATTCCAGCTAAATGATTCCACCATGCAGAATAAATTCAGAACCCATTAAGCCCACCAAACACATTGACCTGGCAGGAGTTAGGTCAATGTTCTTATTTTGAAGAATAACCTACTTTTCTCATTCAATTAAAAAAAAAAAAAAGTCCAAAAATGACAAGCAAAAATGACCTACTTTTTTCTCTTAAATACCCCCAAAAACCTGGCAGCGCAGAGTCTGTAAAATAAGCAGAGAAACATGCTTAAACTTATTTTAATAAGGACAATTTGACTCTGCGCTATAACTGGACTTAACAGAGGAGTGTCTTATTAATAGGAGTGACGTAACAAGGCTGCAGGTCGAGGCTCTTGAGATGTGGAGGACGAGAGTTCAGAGCCGAGGGCAGGAGGGGGGAGGGGGGGCGACGATGAGGAGCTGGAGAGTAGGGATCTGTGGGGGTCAAGAGGTGAAACGGACAAACCGTAATGGTAAAAATCATTTTACCAGGACGGGTAAGCTTGAGCTTCGATACAATACCCCACATGTTCAGGCTCACCCCTGAAAAACTTGAGTAAAACGCCTTAAAATAAATTCATCATCTACTTCCACATCATGGAAGTACATTTATTCAGTGAGACAAACGTCGCCTTACACTGAGATGTGTTTGTTTTCCGTTAAAATTCCTTTTCCGGGCACATTGGCAACCTCAACAATTCAGATGAAGAAAATACGACTGGAGAGTTTTTGGATTTTACGCTTCAATACTTTTAGAAAGTCTGTTGTAGCAAGTAATTTATCGATTATTCTGACAATTAAATGAGAAATTTGATTAAAAAAAAATTTGTTGAAGTACAATATTGGTAACTAACTAACAGGAGTATTCATATCAGAAGTCAATATTGGCCCAAATTTTTATACAAATTTGCAATCACTTTATTGTAGCTTAAAAAATGAACCTGTAACAATAATAGCTCTCTTTTTACGTTAACCTGGACAAAAGTTATACAAAAATCTGCAACTTTGTTCAATTCAATAAAAAAGCATCAGGCTCACAAAGACACTTCTAAAAAATGTCCATGCTCCAGTTTTGTGTTGATCTTCAGCAAATTTAATAGATGATCTCTGACTTTGCAAAAACATTTAAGGCTTTTGTGTTATAGACATGTGTTACCGCTGTGGCAGACATGGTGTGTACAACCGTCACACATGCCGGCCGTACACACCACAGTGCGCTTCACCACCCATTTGTTGCGAGCGCGATGGTCGGATAGTTCATTTCTGGTGAGTCTGTAAAGCTACACACAGCATCAGGTACCGCAGCCTGCTGTGAGTCTCCGCTCCACCAGCACGCATTCACCCGCCAAGCACTTCACCGTTAATGGCAAACGCAATTTCCGGGAAACTTCATGGAATTGATGCAATACATACAAAATGTTGGCGATTTGGTGGAATCAGATCACACAATCTCTAACTTTTGCTCCGAGTTAGTGAGCAAAAATTTCTCAATAGTGGAGGATGCAGACCCTCGAGACGGAGCAAAGTGTAAAACAGATGAGAGACGGTTCCTGCCAGACTAAGTTGTACCAGGACTTTGGATATTTTAGTGGTGAAATTTCAAAGATCCATTTTCTTTGTGAAATATTACAGGGAAAGACTTGTGTCCCAAAGCACTGAAACCACTGGTGGAGTTGGAGTTGCACAGGGGACATAAGAAGTATTTGGTCGGATGGGGTTCTGTATCGGTTGTGAACTCTAGCCTCGGCTCTACAAGTCTTAGCTTCATGCTCACCCCACTGCTTATCACTAATTATCTCCATTTTAAAATGACTGAACTAACTAAACACTGTTCAGCATCAGAGTGCTCTTCTTTTCGCCTTACCTCCTCTGTCGACTTGCTTCTCTGCTCTTTAAGTCTCGCTGTTCGTCAGGTTTGCCTTTCTCTCCCGTCTGACATTTCCATCTCCATCATTTGTAACCTTCTCTTTTCTCTCCTAACCTTTTTCCGTGTCTCTCCCTCCCTCCTTCTGTGCAGGTGGAGAGAGAGATAGCTATTCTTAAACTAATAGAGCACCCTCATGTTCTGAAGCTCTATGATGTCTATGAAAATAACAAATACCTGTAAGTATCCTTGCGTCCGGATCTTTACTGCGCTCTAAAAATAAGACAACGCTGCATCGTTTTGCCGTGTTTCTATCTGAAACCGAGACGAACAACCACGTCTGAAAGCAGAAAACAATTCCTTGTTTTAATTTTATCCTCTCAGGTACCTGGTGTTGGAGCATGTGTCTGGTGGAGAGTTGTTCGACTACTTGGTGAAGAAAGGCAGGCTGACTCCCAAAGAGGCCCGAAAATTCTTCAGACAAATCATCTCCGCTCTCGATTTCTGCCACAGTCATTCCATATGGTCTGTAAAAAGCTTGACTGATAAAACTGTTGTTGGATGTAATAGGACTAAGAACACGGCCTTGAGGAACGCCACATGAGATCTGAGCCACATGAACACCTGAAACAGAAAATAACATCTATTTTTAGCTAATCTCCTGAAATTCTGAAAACAGACTGGAGTTCAAATATTTTCAGAAACATACGTCATATTAGATATATTGTAATGATCATAATGAGAAAGCAATTTCAGAAAAAGTGCTTTGTCATTTTTTGAGCAGCAAGCATTTTAGGAAAATGCTTGATTTCCCTAACATCTGCCTGAACCAGGTGGAAACATGTACTAATCAATAAGTAATATTGTGTTTCTTTTCTTTTTTTATCTGGTATCCTATATTTAATATTTTTTGACAGTCAGTATGTTTTTGCATGCAGTTTATAAGAAATATGACACAATCTACAGGAAATCTGCTTTTACTTCAACGATGTAAATGTCTAGTCTTTCTTGTTTAGCAACTTTTAGTCTTACATATGCCTATGCATTTTGATGTGTATGCTGTCTGTTATTTTTTTTTTAAAATGTTAATTTTTGTTAATTTATTCTGCATGCGTAGCGTAAGCATTCATGCAGATTTCACAGACATTTGTTCATTTATTTTATGTAAACAATTTTCACCTTTATCATCAGCAGCAGCTATATATGAATGTGTGTAGTTCAATTCAAGTAGGAGCCGGTTTCATATGTCAATTAGAAGATGCTTAGTGTAGTTTTTGAGAGCCAAAGGCGCTTTTATGAGCTCAAATGTATGTAATCTCATGACATATGATGCCGCATGACGTCATTTTTGTTTCTGCGTGTTTTTAGTCACAGAGACCTGAAGCCAGAGAATCTTCTCCTGGATGAGAAGAACAACATTAGGATAGCAGACTTTGGCATGGCCTCACTGCAGGTTGGGGACAGTCTGCTGGAGACCAGCTGTGGGTAAGCACAAATGGCAGGTTTCTATTTCACACTCAGGTCCTTCATTTACTATGTTTCAAATCACAGGGAAAAATAAGGAATCATCTGAAATGTTCTAAAATGATGAACCTAAAAACTTTCCACTAAGAACCTTATTCTTCAGGTTTCAGTGCTTCACTCATAAAAACAATATTTCATCTGACAGTTTCCAACGTGGACCAGCTGACAGATCAGCTCTGAGCTTGTGCATTTGGTTTAGATCAGCAAATTTCAGGCTTTTTCCATTGATATTTTTCACACTTGAATTCTCTGAATAACAATGAGATGATTTTTTGTTTGTTTGTTTTTTTTAATTATCATTATTTCCTGAAGTCAAAATGTTCACAAGATAATTTTGGAACATCTTTGAATGTGTCTCACCTCTCTAACAGGAGAATTACATGAACTTTTTTCCCTGTTCTCTCCTCATAGGTCTCCTCATTACGCTTGCCCAGAGGTCATTAGGGTAAGTTATTTCTCTCCTAGTGTGTGTTTTCTGAATGGGTGTGAGTGTGTGTGTGTGTGTGTGTGTTTGGATGTTTATTGCTACCCCGCTGTGTGTTTCAGGGGGAGAGGTACGACGGTCGCAGGGCTGATGTTTGGAGCTGCGGAGTTATTCTCTTTGCTCTGCTTGTGGTAAGGAGTCGTTTTATTTATTTTTTCTTAAGATGCAGGATTTTTAAATTGAAGTGAAAATACTTTCTTGTGGTCTTTCTTGAAACTGATTAGAAAAAATGTTTTGGAAGTCTGCAAGTTGTTCAGTCTTCAGTCTTTGGTGTCACGATCTCCTGGAGTTTGAGTTTAATTATTTTTATATGTACGTTTCCTTTTTTTAAAAATGTGTGATATTCCTGCTGTTCCTTGTCATCAGACACCCCTTTAATCACCTTCCCTGCATTAAATCCACCAGTTTTCAGCTCGTCGTTGTCAGATCCTGCTGATCATAAACTTGTCCTGTTTTCAAACCTGTTCCTCTCACACGTTGCATTAAGTCTCAACACATTTTCTTCGTTTCCATTGACCATATAATTGCACAATTTGTCATTTAGAAAATCAATTTGCTTACCGGAAACATGCCAATTTAAAAAAAAACACACAAAAAATGTGTTTTTCAATAAAAAATTTGGTGCTAGGATGAGGTGGGAGTTTTTTTTACTGTACCAAAATTGGTTACTTTCCCAAAACTGCAATGAAAACACTTTTTTTTGTATCTTAAGAAACACATGATCAACAAGTGGATGCTGCCACTGGTACAAACCACAAAAAAGACGACAGGAAGTAGTTGGAGGATCATGGTGTGGCATGTTTTTAATGACTTATATAAGTATTTATGATCAGTCAGAAAGTCCAAATACTTTGCTGAGGTCATTCTCACACCTTCCGGGCCTCTGAAGGGCCCGACCAACTCCCTCTCTCCCCATGATTTCGGCCCAAAGCATGACTCCACCACCTCCTTGCTGATATCACTGCCTTGTGATCATCCACCACCAATCCACTACTGAGTCCATCTGGACCATCCAGGGTTGCACAGCAGTCATCAGTGAACAAGTCTGTTTGAAAATGAATCTTTATGTGCGGCTGGGCCGAGTGCGATCGTTTCTGCTTGTTAGCTGGTTAGGGGCCCAATAGTTGATTCATGCACCACAAGCCTCTGGAGGATCCTCCACCTTCAGGCTCCAGAGGCTCCAGCAGCTTCAAATAACCGTTTGCTGCTTTGTAAGAGCATTTTAACAGCTGCTCTCTTAATCCCATGAATTTGTCTAACAGTAACCTTCCTCATTGTGCTTTATCTGTACAAACCGTCTTTCTTCTGAATCAGCCACAAATCTCTTCACAGTACGATAACGCTGCAGTTTTCGTTAAATATCTAATGTTTTCATATCTTGTCATACGGCTCTATACTGTCTGATGATTTTCATCAGCAGAGATTCTTTCTCATATTGCTTGAAACCTGTGGCCTGCTCAATAATGTGGAACATCCTTTTTAAATAGATTTCCTTTAACTGAGCTAAACTAATCAACCAGCTCTGAAATTAATTATAGTGATTCCAAGAGCCCTGACACACAATACCATCTAGAAATTTAATAGCACAACAAAAAAATATATATTTGTATGACACTTTAACCCAATTTGCATAATAATTTGGAACGCGGTGTAGTTCACAACATCCTAATAAACAGTTTCTTATTCTGACAAAGATTTCATCATCATTCCGCTGTGGCAGACATACTAGAATGTAAAGCCAGAGCAATCTTCCACTTGACATTTTAAAAAAATTCTTGCATCTGTATACAACTAGAACGTGCAGTGACAATGACGATGTGCTGAGGAAGAGCTGGATGAATTTTGAACCAGTGCAAAGCTAAAACGCAGCATTGCAGTTGTTTTCAAAGCTTCGGGCCAGCTCTGTGAATCGGACCGGCTGATGGGATGGTACCAGTCAGAGTTGACGAGCGTCTCCGCCGCGTTTTACTTAATCATGGATTGATTTCATGAAGAGCCAATGCCGCAATGCAGACGTTAGAGGGCTACAGGAATAAAAGCAGTCGGGGAATCTTAAGTGATTGTTGTGCAGAGGCAAAGCAAGTTTATTTATAAAGCTCCGTTCATGCACAGGGCAATTTCAAATGCTTTCTTGAAGCAGGTCTGTAGACTAAAAGGCTAATTACAAAATAAGGTAGGAAACTGTTGAAGGAATTACATTAAAACTGATGCAGTAGTTAAAAAGGAAATGCAAGTTTGAAGCAAATGAATCCAGACGAGCAGCTGAAACAAGGTTTTAAATTAACCAGAAAAGCTTCGGGAAACAAAATCATAATTTCAGTCTCGATTCAAAGGAGCCAACACTTTCTGCTTGTTTCATTTTCAGGAAGTTGTTGCTTCGTTGAGTGTCTTACAGCTCAATAATATTTTAAACTACATACGCTTCAGATGCAAAGAACTGGTGTGAAACTGGTGTGACATGTTCCAACTTACTGGTGTTGCTCAAGGGTCTGTGGGTAGTGTTATGGTAGAGTCACAACTTTCTGATTTTATTTCATGTCAGTTTAATGAACTTCATTTATCCTGAATGGTGCCAACAGACCCAATTTACATACAGAAATATACAGTGAATCCAATAATACAGAGAAATAAACCTGCATTTCATTGGATAGTTCTAATGCAGGCAGTCAATGGATCTTAAATTTAATAACCTACTTTAAAAGAAAAACATGCATCTTTTTGGTGCCCCTTTATTAGCTGCGGGCTAATTTTGCAACAGAGTTTCTACATAGTCACACTTAGATTTCCGGTTGGCTCTGCAGCTTTTAGGATCTCTGAGTCTGGTCGTGTGCTAATTTCCAGCTTTACATGCATCATATCCATTATCTCTGCTTTTTCTCTAACAGTTGAGCCACTTTGGATCACAGTCACCGGTCCCAGTTCCATTAATCCATTTTGGCAATCTGGCATCAAATAGAAATTGATGCCAGATTGCCAAAAGCTGTTTTCTATTTATGGCAGTAAATGCTGATTTCATCACGGCCAAAATGATTTGAATCAAATGCATGTGATGGATATTTCTGCCATTCATAGTGAGAGATCTGTGCCAGACTAAAGTCTGCTTCAGGACATTCTACTACATCCGTACAGAAACAACTAACAGCAAAGTGATATCCAAATCAGATGGGATCTTCTCTTTTTTTTCGTCCTACCCCGTCAGGGAGCCTTGCCTTTTGACCACGACAACCTGCGGCAGCTCCTGGAGAAGGTGAAGAGCGGCGTTTTCCACATGCCCCACTTCATACCGCCTGACTGCCAAGCTTTGCTGAAAGGGATGATAGAGGTCAACCCCGACAAACGACTCACGGTAAGAAGTCAGAACTTGAGACAGGCAGACAGGAAACAAGAAAACCGAAGCACTGAGTCTGGAACAATCTGAATTTGCCATGATATACGACGACCTCATTTTGGTTCATTATTATTATTATTAGCTAGTGGATTGTTAGAATATCCTTTATTTATATGATTGTTTGCAAAAGTTAGTAAATCAATTGAATACGTAGGCCTTTCACTATAACAAATTTTGGTGGATGATAAATTGTCTCAGAAATGATTGGGATGAACGATAATATTACTGTGAGGTCTGTTAATTGCATAATAAATCAAAATAAGCTCAATCATTTGATTTTTCATTTTGACGACTCATATTTTGTGAATTGCAATTTACAGAGACATCATATAACCCTTTTTTCTTTTTTATGTTCATGGAGCATTGAACTTGCATTATTATGTCATTATTGATATATTGCTCAAAAAGGTCACAAAACAACAATATTTTATGTTTATCGCAATAATTATTATACCTAATTGATGTTTTGAGACCATTTTCAAGTAATATATTGATAATGATATATTGATCCAAGTTTGCTCTCTTAAAGACCAATAAATCTGGTGAAAACTAAGCCAAATTTAAATGAATAAAAGCATTTGGAAATACATTTTACTGAACCATGGCACCTTCCAAAAGTATTCACTCCCTCAAACACAAATCTTACCATTTGAAAACATGTCAAGTTACTTTTTAAAGTATGGGATGTTTTCTTCATGGTTTCTACTAGTATATTTAGCAAATAATAATCATAATAATTTTCACAATGTTCTCAGAAAATGGAGTTTTTTTTAAATCTTTTTTGTCTTTGTTTCTGCTCTGGTGACTTGCTCTGGGTGTTCTCACGGCGTTTCAAATCTTGTTGCACTTCAAGCACAAACTGCAGTGGATTCAATGGGATTTTATGCGAGGCAAACCAACGCAGCAACTATCTCTAACCTGAACGTAAAAAGCAAAAAAAAATGGTCATGGTAACTTTGGAGGAGCTGCAGGTGCACTAAATGTTGGTGGTTTGGAAGAGTGGCTACGGGACGCTGTAAGCATCTGGACAGTCTGGATTATTTTTTTCTTTTAAACTGCAGTTAGATTGCGTGCGAGGAATAAGTGTGTTTTCCTTCTGCCGAAAAGTCAAAAGTGTTACCTGAAAAGACAAGGGCGTTGACTTTATGCTGCACGTTGAGGACAAAGGGAGCGTTTTCAATGGTGGAGGGAGAGAAAAGAGAACATGCAGCCCGCAGGCTTTGCTTCGAGTTGGGATGCAAATGAAAGCTGACATGAGACCTTACCGAGAGAGGAAGAAGAGGAGACAAGTCGGTCCACAGATAGAGCGGAGTGGAGGGACCTCGGGTGCTGCGGAAGGCCAGAAACACGGCCCTTCCTGACAGGACTGGCCTTTGGTTTGATGTCAGGCAGCTAAAGAATGTTGGTGGTTTGGAACAAGAAGTTCTATTAAAAGGTTCATCTCAGTAAATCAGGGTAGAAGGTTGGTTGATTTTGATAGGTGCAGCTGAAGAAAACCCCAAAACTCAGTTTCTCATTCGAGTTGAACTGGAGACGCGCCGATCCGATATTAATGTCTGTATCGGTTCTCATACTGAAAACCACTATAGATTGGGTATCGGTGACAATGTGCTTGATCCATAGGGGTGGATCTATTCAGTCTAATGCTCTGATGTCATGCTTTATCACTTATTTTACATTATATATAGAATTCCTAATTGAACATTCTGTACCATCTGAAAGAAGGTTTGTTCCAGTTTATTTTACGTTTGACCAGCATAGTCAATCTATTGTTTTTGCCCATTTCAGTTTCTTTATTTAGTTCTTTTATATTGATTGTTCTACTCCTACATATTTGATCAAGATTCTGAAGCCACTGGTGTGTTTAAGTGTGTTGTACTGATACAGAGTCAGCAAATAAATGTGTAATTCACTATATTTATATTTGTGTTTTTAAAAAAAAAACCCACACACATTTTAAATGTTGTTTTTGAAATGTTCAGCTGTTTTTCTGTATCGGATCGGTATTGGCCGATACTAAGCCTCTGATATTGGTATCGGAAGGGAAAAAAGTGGATTGGTGCCTCCCTAATTTGAACTTGACATCAAACCTATTTAACATTACTTTTAAGGCAGAACCTGCTTAAACCTGCTGCTGCTTCTACCACACTTTTTTCTTCCACTCAACCTTTTGTTGATACTGCTGCTGTGTGTCAGCAGGAATCTGTAGCTTCTTTCCCTGTCGCTGCTTTCAGTTTAGAGGGGCTTCTTTTCCAAAGTCAGGAGTGAGCGTCATGAACACACAATATGGCAGCAGTGGCGACCTCCAGAGGCGGAGCAGCTGTAAAATACATGAGAGCCTTTTAAAATCCAAACTTGTTTTGAACTGAAGGATGGAAAAGAGAAAAATTAAATAAATTACGTTCATGGAGCAGAAGATGTTTTAATCATTTGCTTCTTTGGAGGAGGAGAAGGAGGAGGAGTCTGTAAAACAACTGAGAGATAAGAATCTGGTTCATTCAGCGACAACAGATTTAATCAAAGCTGTGAGTTGGTCTGATGAGCTGTTGATTAATGGAGCCTGAAACCAGGTCAGCCTGTCTCTCCGCGCCTCCGTCTGTCTGCCCTGCTCCTCCACCACAACCACAGCAGCTCAGCCTGCACTGGGTCTCACTGAACCGCCTACCAGTCAGCAACCAGGGGATGTTGCTGGCGAAGGGAACGTAATGTGTGCAGGTCGCAGGATGCTGGCAGACCTGCTGCCCTGTGTCTGTGTCTGCCCCCGGAGACGCAGCGCGCCGCTGACGCAACGCTCTCCGCCGTGTGCAGCTCCTGCTGCAGGGTGTATAATGTATGAGGGCTGATGCGGGACAGTTGGAGGAAAAAACTTTCCTGGAGGTCACGCAAGCATGGAGTGGATAGCAAACATTAAAGATTTGAAATGTCTTTCCTTTTCAGACCCCTTTGCTGCGACATCAGTAAATGAAATGATTTGTTCTGTGATGTTTTGTTTTTTTTCAAGAGAATATTAGTGAACAAACCGAGCAACACAGCAGGACGTTGCAAAGCAGGGCAGCTTCTAATATCTCTTGAACATGGTCTATCATATTAAAACCCTATAAAATAGATTCAACTTTGTGGTTTTTAGTTGACTTAATATTTAAATGTGTTGCTCTGTTTGTTTATTGCAACCTGAATCTGGTGGCTGTGACATTATCATTTAGTTCATTTAGCATTTCGTTGGAACAGTCTTGTGGTTTCTTTCAGTGGCTGCTTGACTTTAAACTAGAGCAACTAATATTAGCATGGCAAGAACTTTTAATTTTTAAAGTAAAAATATATGTTGAAAGCGTTTTACGCCAATGAAACAGTTTTGTCCACATTCTAACATTGTTCATTCTCTCTTCCTCCAGCTTGAAGCAATACAAAAACACAACTGGTACCTGTAAGTACATTCACTTTGTCTTCAGTCTTGTCATTGTAACACTTTTCTGTTGTTATTCTTTTTCTTCCTTTTCCTTTTTTCCAATCTCTGTCCTTTATTTATTTTACCAATACTTGAAAACATCGTCTGTCTGGACTTGAGTTGCAGCGCCATGTTTCAGATGTCTCTGGTTCAATGTTTAAGAAACATAAAAAACATAGAAGAGTTTGTTAAACCAGCTCTTATTGTCAGCATCTGGAACTTGAAACGCTTGGAATTCTGCACTGCAGAAAAATCTTACCAAGTGCTTTTGGTCTAGTTGCCTGTGCAAACATCTTGATACACGTGAAATAATTCAAAACTAACTTTCAAGTAACTTTTCAAGATAAAGGAGCTTGTTTTAAGTCACATGTGTCAAACCTGAGGCCCCTGGGCCAAATCTGGCCCGCCTGAAATTTCTATGTGGCCCTCTAAATTCTACACTAATCACTGAGTGTGCTTAAATATTATAGTGTCAATCAAATCAGTTCAGTTTGAATCTGTTTACTGACAAATTATATCAATTTCTCTGTCCAGTTTTATGCAAATCATCATGAAAATTCACAGAAAATCAACCAATCCCTGCCTTTTTGCACTAATGCATAATTCTAGATTTATTAGAAATTTATTGGAACTTTCTTAATCGAACTGAACAGCTGCCTCAGCCTTAATTGATGTCAGATTATAGTTCATGATCTATACAGCATGTAATAAAAGTCACATTTACCATCATAAACAAGCGGAGATATTGCAAATATTTCCAAATTAGCACCACAGACACTTGTTTCCTGCCAGGGGTGGCCGAAACGAGCCTTGCCCGGAGCAGCCGCCGCCTCGCCGGGTGTGCGTGAAGAGGATCCTGTCCCTGTCGGACCTGGACCCAGACGTCCTGGAGAGCATGTACTCTTTAGGCTGCTTCAGAGACCGAGTGAAGCTCACACGGGACCTTACGAGTGAGGAGTGAGTACATGCGACCCGTTCAGCTTCTTTTTCCACTCCGACTCACTGGCGACACGCAGCAGCAGGAGTTGTGAGGCGAGAGAGAATCCTCTAAAGCCTTGACTCGAGTCGCCTCCCTGTCGGTTTTCTCCTGACTGTGTGTTCATGTGTTCTGTTCGTTGTCTCTCTGTTCACTCGTTATCCCATTTGTTTCGATGCAGTCGGGCAGCTTTGTGCTTCATTACCTGCCTGAGTGGACAGTAACAACACTGCTAGTGTCTCCCTCTTTGTCCATCTGTCCACGTTCCTTTTTTCCTCTGTTTGTGGATTTCCACTCACTTCCGTTTGAAAAGCTGCCCTGTAAAAACAAAAAAAGGCTCTAATTTGCGGTTAAATACTGGCGGCTGTGTTGCCAGGACGTTACCGTCTTTGCACAATAAAATTCTGGCAACCTAAACTGCCGGTGTTTCACCATATTTGCTAAAATAGTTTTTGCCAGCTTGTTGCCTTAATCTCACTGCTCTCTGGTCTGCAGGGAGAACCAGGAGAAAATGATCTACTACCTCCTCCTGGACAGAAAAGAGCGATACCCAAGCTGCGAAGATGAGGACCTGCCACCCAGAAACGACCTTGGTAAGAGAAGTTTGTCTTTCGTCTCCTTCTGGTCTCGTGAGGGAAACATGCAAAAACTGTCAGAACCTGTTAGCTTTCCTAAACTCTGATTTAGAAATGCAACAGTCAGAGATTTATGGTTCATTTCCTCCAATGTTGTCCTGCCAAAGCCAACTTTGGTAGATTTATTTCACTCAAAAGCAGTTATAATTGACCAATGCAGACTCTCAGACTAAATCTAAACTTTAGATGACTGGAAGAATGTCCCAGAACAGATTGGACAAAGTTTAAAAGGATAAAGCAACTTTGTTAAAAATGTTATTCTTTCTGTTGCTTTCTGAGTTTGGGCCGAGGTCAGTACATTCTTTTGCTTGTTTGACAAAACATACTGAAAGTGGGTTGAAATTAAATTACAAAAAGAAAAAAAAAAGGAAGAGGGAAAACTAAAATTAACTTTCTGATATAGATGGCTGTTTTTGATACATTGAGAAGAAATAAAACAATAAGATGAAGTCCTGCTGCTGTTGTCTACTACTGATAAATATGTTCCCAATGTCCACATACTTTTTTTAATCTTTTTTTTTCTATCTGTGCCTACAATACATGTTTCTATTCTGCTGTCCCATGACTTGTGAAACTTTTAAAATGTTGCAAAAAAGGAAAACAAAAATAGAGATTTTTCCTAAACAGTGGCATGTGTTTTGCTAATTGTTAATCTCTTTATCTTAAATTTGAAAATAGAATAGATGCACTTTCTAACTTTGAGTGGTCTTCCTGCAGTTGTACGTGGAAGTTGTGCTTCCACAGGATATGCTGTCTGACCGGCCACTGACCAGCTAGAGCTCCTGAAGCTGAAAATCAGCTGAATCTAGATGATGTGTTTGATTCGATGTACTGAAGCAGAAAGTTCAAATTCTGTTTCTGTGTTGTTGGTATTGTTGTCCAAGACCCACCCAGGAAGCGTGTGGATTCCCCGATGTTGACGCGTCACGGTCGGTGTCGTCCAGAGAGAAAGAGCTTGGAGGTCCTCAGCGTCACAGAACAGGGGTCTCCCACCCCACCTCGCAGGGCTCTGGACACAAACGCTCACAGCCAGAGGTCTGAACGGATTTACTGCCACTGTTTCAGAAGCCAACAGAACACGTCTGCATTGCTTCACCTCTGACTCTTTGCGTTACTCTTCCAAAGGTCTCGTTCGGTCAGCGGTGCGTCCACGGGTCTGTCCTCCAGTCCTCTCAGCAGTCCCAGGGTAAGAACTTGACATAACACTGCTCTGTGGTTCCACCTTGAAATAAAACTTTATTTACTGTCACTGAACACAATTATTTCTAAAAACTTTGAGGAAAATGCCATGATTGTGTTTGCAGAAATGTAGTGTCCAGCGCATCACACTCTTCACAAATATTGCACCATTTGACATGATTCCCAATTGTGTGTTAATAACTTTATATTGTAAAACGGTATTTAGACTTAGACTTAGACTTAGACTTGACTTTATTGATCCCTTGGGAAGACTCCCTCAGGAAATTATTTAAAAGCAGATCAACCTGTATATTTGTACACACAAATGAACCTCCTGGCGCCATTTTTGATTCCTGCCAGGAAGTTGTGGTTGTCGTGTAACAATCTGATTGGACGACATCCGTTTTAGCTTTGCACTACACTGCCCCCTATGGGTTTGGCATGTTTGATAGCACGCTCAGAGGAGTATTTTTGCGGGTTGGTGCAGATGAAAACCTTCTGAAACCAATGCCATGTGGAGATTAGTGGCAGGACAGTTTTAACAGCTTCACAGTTAGCACAGCAAGAACAAAGGTGGATCAGTACATAGTTCCAATATTCTGATCTGCAACATTAATGAAATTTAAAAAGTGTTAATTAAGGTTCAGCTTGAACGTGTAGAAACATTTACTTTGATGGTGGTTTAATGGTTGGATGGTGGAAATTTACTCTAAAATATTCCCTATTGTGAGAAGGTGTTAGCTTGAGTCCTTCATATCACTTTATCCCAGACTTTCCTGTCTGGATTTACGCTAGCGGCTCATCAGAACCTGACTTTGAAAGAACCAAGTCTTTCCTTCCTTATGTATTATTAACAACTTTGGCATGCAACTATCAGTTTTGTTTTCTAGGATTAATTTATTGTGATGTGACCTTTGCCTTAGCAATGCTTGCTCAGTCTGTTTGTGCTAGCCATGTTCTTCTGCCTTCCTATCACATCTTCATTTCAAACACATCATGCTGTCCATTTCTCAAAATAGGCAAGAAAAAAACAGCTTTCACATATCTTGTTGATATTTTCTGTCCATGAATCATATTTCACAACCATTGCTTCCTGTCTCATCTGCCCACATCCCTTTCCCTCGATTTTTTTTTTTTTTTTTTTTTGCATCTTTCTCTGTCTGCCCATCAGAGCCCGGTCTTCACCTTTAGCCAATCAGAGGTCACCTCCACTTCCTCCTCCAAAGACCCCAAAGCAGGAAGTGGCACCACTCCTCGGCCCGTCCGCCCGATGCCCGACCCAAAAACCCAGACCTTGCCCTCGAAGGGTCCAGCTGACCGGCCCCAGCTCCACTCCATGAAGTCACTCCCTCTCCAGACTCCACGCTCTCCTTCCCCCTCCCCTTCCCCCATCCTCTCTCCAATCCCGCGGTTCTTCAACTTCCCCTCTCCGTCCGTCTTCAGGTCCAAGAACATCCACTCGTCCTCTAACTCCTCTGCCACCCCTTCCCCTGTGTCACAGGTCACGCCGCAGGGCTCGCCCCTGCCCACCCCGCTCGGCACGCCCGTCCACCAAATCCAACACCCTTCCTCCACCACTCCTCCCTCCTCCTCCTCCTCGTCCTCTTCCTCCAGAGTGGACGGGGCGGGCGGGGCCTCGCTGACCCCGCCCTCCAGTCCTGGAGGGAGTGGCAACTTGGCCGCCTCGAGCTCCACCCACTGGAGGACGAGGCTCAACTCATTCAAAAACAATCTGCTGGGCTCGCCGCGGTTCCATCGGCGCAAACTGCAAGGTGAGCAGAGATTTGAAAAAGTTTTTTTTTGTTTGTTTGTTTTTGTTATTGTCACACTCATATTTACTTTGGAAATTTTTTTATTGTTGTAATGTCGCTTTGTCTTTTCGGGAAAATAAAAATACCCATTAAAATAGTTCAAAGTCATATTGTTGTGTTACTTTTCTATTACTCTTAAACTTATTTATTAGTATATGATGTATTGGTATACATTTTTTGTTTCACTGGAGGAATGGCCAGAAACGTCATGTTGATTCCTTGTACGTCCTTCGACATATGATGACAATAAAGCAGACTTTGGCTTAGGGGGTGAAAAAAGAACCTGTTGTATTCTTTAAATTAGTGCCTCACCTGAGGGCTGACGTCACTTTAAATTCCATCACAATGAGCTTCGTAGCAGCAGAACGGTGGAAAGAGTCTGTGGTAGCATCTCTTCCTATCTAAGGAGCGTGTGCTTCAGGCTTCAGCTGTGTTGAGTAATGCTGCTGCTGTGATAAGATGTAATTAGAACAATTAAATTAGAGTCTGTCATCAAGAATCGCTGGACTTATCTTTCCGCATCTTTCAACCCATCTCTCTGTCTGTGTTTGTTTTAGTCCCGACATCAGAGGACATGTCCAGTCTGACTCCAGAGTCCAGTCCAGAGTAAGTGCGCTCGTGTTTGGTATTTATTTTATTTGTTTTAATGTGTTTGGTAGCCTGGTGAAAACCAGCTCCTTGTACTAATGGTCTCGGCTCACGGCTATTGAAAAAAGATTATTTCCTGGAGGTGTGGGCTCCGATGAAGTTTTAAATTTTATCCAGTCGCTAACGTTGAATGCATCAGCTCGATGCTACATAGCTTACCTGAAATTGCCCAGGCTGTAAACAACCATCCTCCACTGCAAAGAGAGAAGTGCCGAGCCCAATGAGGCGCCTGTTAATGTCAATACAGTATTTGGAGGTGTGACCAATGTGAACCGAACGACCTTGTTCACTTCCTCCATTGCCAACACTACAGGCAGAATACAATTGTAAAACAGCACAGAAAATCAAAATTGTTCACAACTTCTCCTTTTGTAAACTGATCGGCCCAGTTTAAAAATCTACTGGAGGAATCCAAGTAAATGGAAGAAATCCTAGAAGGAGCACTGAAGGGAAATGAAAATGTCGTCGGTTGACAGACATTTTTCATCTCTATTTCAAAATATTGTGAAATTTACCTGGCATGGTTTATGTAACATACAATGCAAAACATGCATTTATAAAAAAAAATTTAAAAAAGGAGATAAAAACTCAATGGTCCCCCCAAAAAATTGAAGCCCTGGGCGACAGCCCGTTTAAGCCCTTTCTAAAGTCTGACGCACAATAAAAGTAATTTTAAATTGGTTCAAAATGATTGTCATTTTTATTTTTTCTTTCTATTGTTTCCAGGCTGGCTAAGCGGTCGTGGTTTGGTAACTTCATCAGTCTGGAGAAGGAGGAGCAGATCTTTGTTCTGATCAGAGACAAGCCGCTCAGCTCCATCAAGGCGGACATCGTCCACGCCTTCCTCTCAGTGAGTGCCATCAGCCATCAACCAGCTTCATGCATCGGTATCGTCTTCTTTGTCTTTTCGGTCTTAAAAGTCTCCATCCGTCGTCTCCGCAGATCCCCTCCCTCAGCCACAGCGTGGTGTCTCAGAATAGTTTTCGGGCGGAATACAAGTCCTCGGGTGGCCCCTCTGTCTTCCAGAAACCTGTCAAGTTCCAGGTCAGATTTCCTTTATTGCACCTTGACTTTAGTTTTTTTTTATCCAGCCAGCATCAACAGAAATTAGGTCACACAGGGCTTCAAAAGGTTCAAAAAGTGGAGCTTAAAGGCCTGTTCTTTGCCCTCGTTTTTTGCAGGTGGACATCGCTTTCTCTGAGGGAGAGAGGGAACGAGAGAGGGAACGAGCGGAGAGGGAAGGACGAAGAGAGATGGGCATCTACAGCGTCACCTTCACGTTATTAGCAGGTGAGCGGCTGAATGATGGAGGCCCTGTCCGCCTCTGGCATCAACATATGACCTGGCCACTTCACTTACTAGTGAGCAGCTAATGGAACAAGTCAAAATAAATTGAGCTTTTGAAAGTTTTAGCCTGAAAAAAACTCCTGTTTTCAGAATCTTTCTTCTGAAGTAAAAGCAGATCTGTTAAAGTCGTACGTGATGCCGGCTAATTTGTGAACAAAGAAATAAAAGGAAACTGTCTGTTTTTGACTATTGTTTATGGAATGTGATCCACATTTACCATGAGCCTCTGGGGTAATACATTTTCTTGCAAAAGAATTCATGCCACTAAACTTAAATTTTTTTCTACAGATTTTGCAATGTTTTTGATGTGATTTCATATCATTTATGGTTTATACAGACCGCGTCAAATTTATCAAAACAAGGAAGTTTGTCTAAAATGATAATTGGCTGTAAATGTTTTTTTTCTCTTTTTTTTTGTTTGAAAGGTTTGATGAACGATAAACACCTTTTGGTGTTTGGTGCCCTTTGCCCTTATTATTAATGTAAAAAGTTAAAGAGATAATGAACACTTTCATGTGATGCTCCACAAACGTACATGGCATATCCTTCTTTCGGAGTTTATTTTTAACAGCTGGGTGACATAAAGGGCTTTTTTTATTTATCATGAAAGAGGATCACCCCTCCCTGTTATCATCTGTAAGCAGGCAGAGCTTATCAGACCGTCCATATTCCAAGCTGCTGATGCGGTGATCGCTGCTGATATCCTGGATCTGTTGGATCTGTTGGGTCTGGCAGTCAACAGATCCAAATGAGTGTTTCTGCTGTGCTTTAAAATGTGCAAAAGGCTGTTGGTATTTGCTTTCATTACAGCGGTAAGGAAGAAGGGTGACAAGCTGGAGTAAACAGAAAAGGTCTCAAATATTATGCCATTCAAGAAGCTTAATGGCTCTTACTGTATTAGAACTGCAACCGGAGATTTCTTGAGAATTCCCCCTTCACTGCTCTGTCTGGGGTTTCTCCCATTGAGATGGATTCCTGCAGTAGAATTTCAGTGACAGACTAAGCTGTGAACAATGACGTTGATTTTCTGCTCTGCTTTAGAAGTGCAGTGTGTAGTTTTAGCGACGGCAGTGGAGGAAGTGAAGGAAGCCGTTCAGTCTTTCTCCGTCACGCTTCCAAATTCTGAACAATCAAAAGCCGGAGTAACAGAAATGTTTAAGTTTACAGAGCAAGTAATTTCCAGTAAAGACTCCTACATACCAGAGCGTACTGTAAATACTTTGTAAAATTGTTTTTTACCCGGCTTTTGAAGAGCTTGAATCAGACTTTCATTTGGTTTTAAAACTGGTAAATCAATCAAGGATTTTTGCTTCTGTACTAAGGCAGTTCAAAGTGCTTTACATCATGAAAACATAAAAATATGCATTTTGTGAAGTGACTTTGTTGAAATCATCATTACACATCCAATATGTTGGTCAATGTTCCATTTAAAAGAAACTCTAAGCAGGTGGGGTTTTCATCTTGATTTAAAGGAACTCAGTGTTTCAGCTGATTTGCAGTTTTCTGGAAGTTTGTTCCAGATTTGCGGTAAAGTCTCTGACATCGCTTGATGAGTAAGGACAGTAAAATGTGGAGTAAAACTGCCTCATAACCGACTCTTGACTCTTCTTTCCCCTTTAGGTCCCAGTCGCAGGTTTAAAAGAGTTGTAGAAACTATTCAGGCTCAGCTTCTCAGCACTCACGATCAGCCATCCGTTCAGGCTCTGGCAGGTGAGTTCCAAACATTCATATACAAAACCTCGTAAAAGTATTCATGTGCCCTGATCCTTTTATAGCATTTGGCCATGTCGAGGACCGTCAATAGGAGCAACTCTTCCATGAAGGCAAGATGTCTAGAGTGAAGGGGATTGAATACAAATAAACTTTGACAATTTAAGAAAGCTCTACAAGCCTTCTTATGCATCATTTCTTTGTAAAGCGATTTGAATAACGGCTCCTATCTGGTGTTGTGTTCCTTGCCTCTCAGATGAGAAGAACGGTCAGCTCTCCCGTCCGCCCAGCGCTCCTTCTCATCAGAACTCCCGGAATTTCGAAAGCGGATCGGATCGAGTGGAGCGGGAGCCCACGGTGGACGGGGTGAGCGGTGGCAGCAGCAGCAGCAGCAGCAACAGCGGCGGGACGACCTTACAACGGCGAGAGTCGGGGAGAGACAAGACCAGACTCCTTTCATCGTCCAATGGGACACAGTCTCACCCGTGAAAAGAATGTTGCAAACGGGAAGAGAGGGTTGACCGCCTGGCTTGCCTCTCTTCCTCCTCTCAGTCCTTCCTGCTTTCTTCCCTTAGCCTTTTCCTTACTTCCTTCCGGGCTTCTGACCTTTAATCCCATTTAAAGGAACGGGAGGCGAGAAGGAGTTTAGTCAAAGATCGTTTAGAGATCCAGAGAATTCCCCCAAAGTGTCTGTCTGTAGTAGGAAGGCGTAGTGGGAATGTAGAACTGAGAAAGCTCACAACCAGGGAAACGAGTCGTCCACCTCCTACAGCAGATCGACAAAGCACAGGACATTTCCAACAAACTACCACAATCAGCAGTTGCTTCAGACTTTGCAGGAAAACCTCCTGGTCATTTGGTCAGGTTGGTTCACTGTGACACCGGCCAACGGCTGAGTGCACCGAAGCATTCCCTCTCATCACTTCCTGCCCATCCAGATTTATCATCCGCATCACTTTTTTTCCTCACCTTTCTAGGGGCGAACAAATGTGTTTTCTCCAAGCAGGCCGAAAACACGAAGGAAAGCTGGCCAAGAATCAGATGAGCTCGGTGATTGTTTGAAGTGGTTTGTGTCCCTAAAGGCTCAGCAAACCCTAACGACACGTTTTCACAATCAAACAGGAATAGAGCAGAGGAGCAAATATCGCCACGGAACGGATCGGCGGTAATGTGGACACCGTGCGTCGGAGTGATGTAACTTTTCCTCAAACGTATGGAGCCCCGTCCCAAGTTATTTCTGAAATACAACGATATGAAGCTATGATACCATATTGCCTTTACAAGAGAAGACAAATGTGGACAACGGTAAGAGTTTAGCCACATTTCAAAGAAAGGAGTCATGCAGCAAGGAGGGTCCCCTACTAGTCTAAAAGCATGCTGGACGAAAAGATGAAGAGGCCAAACATAGAAGGAGATTTCCCTTAATTTAAATGCAGTGGACACACACAAAAAAAAAACAAACTAGGAAGCCAACAACCTTCTCTTTGGCTTATTTAGAAATGAAAAGCAGTTTTTATGTGAATGACTTTTAGAGCCTTTCTTTTACACCATACGTAATCTATATAAATGGAGAAATTGTTTTTGTTTTTTTCTAGTTTCTCCTGTTTTAGAAATTTTAGTTGTTCCTTTTTTAAGTTGGTCTTTCTGAGCCTTAGAACAACTTCTAATCTAAAACACACTCTAGCGCTAATATGAGCTGGTTCCACTTCATATGTGGTCGTTCACTCATACCCCGGCGCAGTACGCTCACTTTCAAATCCCTCGTCATCACACAGGAAGTACCAAGTGCATAACTGATGGACCTGTAAGCTTTTAAACAATTCAACAAGTCGTCAAGTTTTACCTCACCCCGGTCGGCATTAGCTTAGCATTAGCGCATTTTCAGAAATGGCTTTTCTTGAACCTAAACCACAATTTAGTGGAAAAGATTCAGAGATTCTCTTTGAATCTGACCAGAGAAAGTTGTACATCTGACTCATAATGACAGTGATATATTTCAGTCATCTCAGTAACTGCTGTATGCCGCTCGTATTCTGTTTGCACCGAATTCACTTTCCTCTTGCCAGATGCTCGATGGCCCTTCTTCTCTCTACATAGTTTGCGTCTTTTTATACTTGATATTGTTAATGGCAGAACAATAAAGCGTAAAGCTGCGTCCCAAATAGCAGCAGCGAGGAAAATCTGATTGCAGCTTCTATTTCTGTACACGCAAAAGAATTGCGAATGCTGCCCATTCCATGCCAAAGTGGGAGAAAACTGTCTGGCATTTGTTTACACAACAAGGTGAGAAAAATGGGGGAATTAAAAATAATAACTGAAAACAAATACTGGCAGATTCAGCTTTCCTGTAAAGGGCCTAACAGATATTTACGTGTATAACTATTAAATCTGAAAATTGCCTCACATCTGCATTGAATTACATCAGCCGACATCTGGCACCTATTAACAGGTATGTCAGCTTGTTAATGGTTTGGAGTACATTCCACAGTTCCTCTGCATTTCTTGATTTTGCCTCAGAAAAAAGGAGGTTTGATGTCATCAAATAAGTTTACTATTGCCAGGTCCAAAGATCGGGCTTTACTCTGGAAAGTTAATGATGGATTTTCTTCCACACTTTTCAGGTTTTTAGTTTCCATTTGAAAACAACCACACAGAGAATCCACTCCTAAATTTCTTCATAACATCAGGAGTCGTAAATCTCAGCCCCCACCGCCAATCCACTAGAGTAGATTGTCTCAAAATGAAAAAAATAAATAAAAATGCTGAAATTATATCTATAGAATCAATGCAATAGTAGTAAGGACATTGCAACATCAGTCAAATACCAACCTTACTCAATCTCACTCTATTATGTCCTCCCTGGTGAAAATTTAGTCCACTGACATGCATAAAACAAGAAGAAAACTTTAGGTTTGGCCTTTCTTTTTTGACCAACACGGGTCCAAATGTACCCCAGAGCTCAGTTGGATCATACATGTATGCAAAAAGTAATAATCACAAAAGAAACGTACCCCATCGTGATACAGCAGAACAATATAAATGCCACATCCTTGATCCCAATGCACCTTCACTAGTCCTAACAAAGCACAAGAAAAGCCACACAAAATGTGACGAGGTTTGGTACTTCACAAAAACCTGCTTTGTTTCCTCATATGTCGACTCAAATAAAATGACTTTGTTTGATTTTTTTTTCAATATTAAAATGCAAAGAAAAGACTGAAAAGAACCTTTAGCGTTGTAAGGATGGGATGCTTGATAACCGAGCCTCATGTTTTGGCAAATTTGGACATGACGTGTGTCCACTTTGTTTACAAAAATATCTAACGGACCTGAAACGACTATAAGATGTCTGTGGACGTCCCGTCTTTGGAAGGCTAAAGCGGCTAATTTACCAGCTTTTGCTACATTGCGGTGTCATGGAATTGATGGCCACGTTATGTAAAACCCGGCTGACATTTTTGTGTTTTTAACATAACTTTAACCAAAGGTCCACTACAATCAATTTTTTGCTTGCATTGAAATAACTAGCCTTCAACAAAGGAGGAAAACACAATTCTGGTCTTGCTACAACGGCTAAAGCCGAAGTTATAATTTATCTTAGACATTAATAAGTAAATAATTGTCCATTACTGGCTTCTTGAGTCAGTAAATAATGACTCCAAGAGGCTCAGTTGAGCGTTATGAAGTGGAAATGTGAATAAAAAAATTCAAAAAGTGATTTAAAATTTCAACAGTTTTTTTTTTTTAAACCATTCCTATTCCCAAAGTCTAGATGTTTTACGTCTCACTGAAAAAGAATGAAGGTTGGGAATGTTTACAAGAAAGCTGAGGTGAAAGATCCAACATGCTCAGGTGTGTCTGTCGTCACTCTGTACTCATGCTGCCTGGGTAGGAAAAATGAAGCCAAACCGAAGAATGAAATGTTCCTGGTCTTTTTTTAAAAAATTTTTACCATCTCCTCCCTTTTATTGCACCGGTCTCTCTATATATGTAGGTGTTTTTCATCGATGTATTTAACGCAAGCATAAATGAGCGTGGAACTAATTATTTGAATGTAAAAAAAAAAAAAAAGTTCTTAAAATCACTGCACCAGATTTTGATCCATATGTATTTATTGACGTTTGAAGTATTGAAGTTGTACTTTTATTTTCATTTTTATTTGCTTTGTATTGTTTGAAAGTAGTGCCCCCTCCACCCCCCCATGCAGGGATTTTAAGACTAAACCAACGTCTGTAACTGAAAAATAACTTAATTTGACACTGAGATATTTTATGCCAAAATATGCTTTTGTCTCCAATGTATATTTCTGTATCTTCTGTTGAGTTTGGTATTTATTTATCATCATCTGTGTGTGTCACCATAGATATTCACCTTTTACAAAGCTAAACCAAAAGTTCATCTACACTCTGACATTTTAAGAGGACTTACTTGTATGTCTTAAAGGAGCTTTAGTGATAGGTAGGTAATTATCCGAGGCTTCATTTTAGTTTGCCGTGTTTGATTTTTATCACCGCCTCAGACGAAACGGAGATAACAGGTTACTAGAATGTTGTATGGCTACTTTAAAGAATTCCTTTGTCGTTCTGCCGGGACACAGAGGAAGTTTTAGACATTTTGTTCATTGTGGAACGAGTCCCAAAGCAGATTATTCATTAGGTGCTACGGCTCTCGTGACATAAAGAATAACATATTCACAGCTATGCATGATGTCCACAGAGGAAGCCATTTATTTTATTTGTCTGATCTCGTTTTCAAGATAAAAAAATAAATAAAAATTGTTGATCTAATACAACTTCGTAACTACAACAGGATCTGACTACACAACAAAAAGAAAAGCATTTTCACGACTATGCAGATCCACAGATACAGACGCTCTTTCCCTTTCATAAGGTTTTGCCTCCACTTAATGTCGGTTCTGTTGAACAGCTGTTTTGGTCTTTGAGGCAGTGGCTCCCCACAAATTTGCAACAGCGTATCATGGCCCTTGTAGGTAAATTTTTTTAAATGAGTAGTAAATTTATGCCAAAATAAACTCCAAAATTTAAAGATAATATCAAAAATGTCCTAGAAAACACATGGAAATTTGTGAAATTGAAAACCTAAAAAAATTCTAGAGAAAATTTGGACATTTCTCAGTTTCAAAAGTCAAAATTTGCATGAAAAAAACTAAACTAGTTTTTTTTTCTTCCTCTATTTTACCCCCCCCCCCCCCTACCTACAGTATGCCCAAATACGCCGTCATAAAAATTTGGCGTTTGGGGGACCAGAAACGAGAAATTTTGAAAACGCTGATGTCATGACTCTGTGTGGCCATGCGGCCACATGGCATTAACTATGATGTCACAACTCCAGCTCTCTTTACCCCGCATGCGCCTCATTGTCGCAAATATAAAACTTACCACATTCTGTTTTTTGCGCCATAAGCTGGCAGCGTTACAGTGCCACCAAATGGCCCGGCATACCAACTACATTATTTTCTGTTGTGTTCAATTAAAAACATTTTTAAGTAAATAAAAGAAGAAATCGATCTTTACAGGGCCTCAAATTGCCGCTAAATTCTTTTCCACAAATAGCTGGCTGTGCTCTGCATTTAGAGCCAATTGACACATTAGCATGCTATCATGCTAAACATAACCGTTTTTTATTAATAAGCTGACATGGTGAGGGCAGAGTTGTCATGTTCATAGTTTTGTGTACTTTTTGCTTAGTCTTCAAAATCTCTTAAATTTCACTCATTCTCTTGACTTTTGTCAACGTTGCCCTTCAACACATCTGGTTTCGAGAGCTTCAAACCTAGAGGCAAACTAAACCCTTTGTGAATGTCTGCTGCGATGGATGCACCATAGACTCAGGTGAAGCTGTGTAGTTTCAAAACAGCTTCGGGGAGGAATTGTAAGTTCTTGCGGTAAGCCGGCGCTTGGTAGCGATGTTAGCTATATGGTGGACGTGCGTTTTAGTCTTCTGGTGAATGCATGCGCATTTGACGCCTGTGGTGACCCCGGAGCACAAGGCCCCTGTCCAAAGGGCAGAGGTCAAACAAGTCCCAAGTTACAGATTTCCGTACCTATTTTAAAACGCCAACTTAGAATGTAATTCAGAAGAAAGAGCAAACCCAACTGAAGCTATAGAAGGTAGCTAATCAGTGACAGAACTTACTTACCTTATATCTTGTACATCTTCCCATTCCGTCTCTTTGTATTTCAATCCCCACTTTCCTCCTAAATGCACATAACACACCCTCTTATATAATCACCTTTCTTGTATACATTTTCTACACTATATACTTTGATGCAGATGCTGTATACGTTTGTATACACTGTGTGCCTGTCTCTGTCGCCATTGTATGCCATTCATAGCTATGTAGCATTCACTATGTTTTAATGACTCTGTAGTCATCATACAGCTCTTCTTCTCATCATTATTACTCATTCTTCTTCTGCAGTCATAAGAGAAATACAACTACAATATCTGCAGACCTTCCACCCTCTTTCCAACTTCAAATTCCCTCCACCCTCGCTTCCGTTTCACAACCCTCACTCCTCCACACCGATTCACTCAGTAGACAAAAAAAAAGAACGACTTTTCACTCTAAAAAAATTCTTGAACAAAGGGGAGTCAAAGAGGGAGTAGGTGTCACAGGCGGTCGAGAGAGGAGCTAACGCGATTAATGATGATGATGACGACAAAGAGAAATGTCTGTAGTACAATTATTCAAAAGGAAAAGTGCACTATTATGACTATGATTATTATTGCCTGTGAGAAATGCTGTTCAATAAACAATGGAAATGTATGTTGGAGTTTGGGTTTTGTTTTGTTGAATAATTGCTACGGTTTAACCTTCCCACTGGGTCTGTTTGATCCAGCAAGCTTTTCACCCTGTATGCAGTCCAGCAGGGTCACACCTCATACCCTACCTTTGGGCTTTTATGAGGTTTTGGGGGTTGTTTTAGTTTTGGTAACTGACAGTTGGTGAAGTAAACTGACCCTATGTTAAAGGTAATTGGTCCTAAACCTTCTAATTGGCATTGCCATCTTTGGTCTTGACAAACCATCTGGCATCCAACTAGACTGCCAATGGTCACTACCAGATTTAAGCATGGACTTTGACAAGCCCAGTCCGAACCGAAACTCAACAAAGTTCTATTTGAGATTGTATCAACTGATTGATTGATACAATCAATTACATCAAATGGTCCAGGTTCGGAAGAAGCCCCAGACCACCATCCTGCCACGACCACTTCTGAGTGTTTGCACAATGTTTGTTTCTGAAAAGATGTTTAGTCTTTAATTTTGGCCTTGAATCGCTCCCACTGAAACAACTTTTACATACTTTTGGTTTTGTTAAGTACGGACCTTAGCTGGGATTTAGTCATCTGTGGTGGAGTAGAAGTTATGAGATCAGGTGATGGTTTTACAATAGGGGCAAACATATTTTCAGTTAAGAGGGAGATACCAGTTAAAATATCTTGCTAAAATATCAGTCCAAAATTCAAAATTGCTGAATTTTGGACTGTGGACAGCAGAGTAACTCCAAAGAACCAGGCTCCAGGCTGGGATTCGAACCTACAATCGTCTTGTTACAAAAACAACAGTGCTAACAACTCTACCACCATGCAGTCAGTTATATTTGTCAAATTAAAAATAGTTTAATGGTCTGCAAAACTTGGATTTAATGTCAAAATGTTTGCTAGGTCTGGCAGATTTACACTTCAACTAATCTTTGAATTTGACCAACATCTGAATTCAAGTAATGTTTCCACTTTGCGACCAGTCCCAACTAAAGTCTGACAAAGAATCTGTTTAGCGAGGTAAATATTAAAATCTTGGGAAGGACATGTTCGAAGGAAAACAAAATGATCTTTTTTAGGAGGGAGGTGAATAGCTGTGTTTGACCCAGAACTTGCAAATTACCTGACCCAGAACATTGTGTGCAATTAACCCAATAGCTGAGCCACTTGTTTACATCAACAATCTGTCTAAAATGATACTTACAAGGCCTCATGCACCAGCATAGTATTCCTAAAAAAATGATAACAAAAAATCTGAGGTGGAGACAAAGACTCGATTCTGGTCATCTTTTCTTTTAGAAGGAAAGTTTATGACTAAAAGAAAATATTTTTCATCCTAAATCTGCAAGCTGTATTTACACTCAACTTTCCTATAATTTCATACTTCATCGCAGCAGTGAACTCGCATACTATTGTTGAGGTTTTGTAATACTAAAAAAGTATTTTGTTGAAATAATCTGTAATCCAAAATTGTGGAACCTGGATAGGGATGGTTTAGAAATAATATGCTAGTTATGATCATAATCATGCAAATTGCAAAAAATATGTCCCATATCAATACAGATTTTGCATGCACTTTTAAATAAAACTATGTAAATAATACAGTTACCACAAAACAGTAAAAGTTTGAATGTCACTTGCCCTCAGTTTTTAACACCGTTATAATGCTCAGGCTCTAAAATGAACTCTTATCAGACAACACAAGACAGTTTGGGGCAGTACTGAAAATAGCCAATAAACAAAATTAATTTGTGCACATTGCTACATTTTAATTTTGCAGCACTAATTTGACACAAAAAAACTCTTACTTTTGTTATTACTATGTAAAATTTGTATTTACATAGGTGGAAAAAAGTTTATCTACCAATGCCAGGTTTTGTGAGGTTAATAAAAAAAACTCCTGATAAATTAATTTCTACAAAAATGTGAAGAATTTTTATAACGACTCCATGTCCTACAGTGTGAATTTCCAACAAATATCTCCAGCCATTTTGCAATGGCAATTAATAATAATAATAATAATAAATATTTGTTTGAAATGCGAAACAAGTGCCGTTTTTAACTTCCAATTTGCCGCCTGGGCGTTCTCTGTAGGTTGTGAATCAAAAATGGGTGTGATGCTCCCAAAAAAGGAAGCAAATGACGTACCACTGCTTTGCAGCCATTGGCTATGAATGCTTGTAATGGGGCGCTCACGTGTAACGGGCTCGTGAAGGGAGGGGCGCCAGCAGACGTTTTCTACATCTGTTTTCATCGTTCAAAATCCTCTGAAAAAAGACGAAGCAGGTAAGTTTTATCTTCGTTTTGTCGTCTCTCGTCGAAACCACTCGTGGTTTTCACCTAATTGTGTATTTTTGTCCTTGTCGTTTTGGTCAGTTGTGCGTCGCTCCGCGAGCGGTTGGTGCTGGGTGGATCTGTGCGTGTTGTGCTGTGTAGCACTTTTCCGACCTTACTACTAAATTATATCCTTGCTTTGCGGTCGGAGCGCGAGACGCTCCCTGAATTGTTTTTTCATGTGATTACATGGAAGTTCGTCTTCTCTTCTTGTGGGAGATGTTGGTATGTCTGTCCACCCACAAACGATGTCAGTTGACAATTGAGATATCTGTCCTCTGGTGAAAGACTGTTGTATTCAAAGTACGCGCGTGGCTTCGACAAATAAACGGTCTCTTTGTGTCGCTTTTGCTCCTGAAGGGAAGTATTGAAGGTAAGCGAGCGTCGTTTATGGCAGTTTGTCGACTGTTTCGTCAGTCTAAATGTAAAGACAAATGACTTAAATATTTAAGAGGTGTTAACTACGAACTCTCACAATAACTTTAGAACATGGCAACGAGTGACAGGAAGTGAGTGAACTACTCAAGCGCCTTTTGGAGACTAATAGAGCCACTTTAGTCTTTTAAAATAAAGCCTCTAGTCATTTGTTAGCATTACAAAGTGGGGACTCTCTCGTGCACGTGAGTTCCTTCCCCATCACTGCGCTTGTCTGACCCTCCTGTTTGCTGGAGCCTGTTCAACTGGTTTCGCGTCATAGCTTTAACAATAACACGCGCGGATGACTGATTTGCATCCCAGTGGTAATTAATGTTTTGCTAATTTACTGTAGAATATGTCGGTGCAATGAGTTACTGTTATTTTCGTTTTCATTCTGCTGCTCAAATCATTTACATAGAGATGTTAGTATATTTTTTTCCTGAACAATTACATTTTCTTTTAAAAACAACGAGGAAGAGGGGGAGGAAAGCACACCAAATCAATATGTTACATATCATGACTTTCTAAACTACCAACTTCCCAATAATGTTTTGGTTTGTTATCTGGCAGACAAACCTAAAAAGAAAAATTATATGATGATTACAAAAAAATTCACAAATGAATATCTGAAATCAGTATTAGGCTTTGTTTACTTTCATCTCAGAAATTAAAACTAGTTTAAAAAAAAAAAAAAAAAAAACCCTTCAAAAGTGACTCAGCATTAGCACTAGTAAATTGACTGCGTCTGAGTTGTTTCCACGCTGTTCTGTGAATTCCTCCTACGTGGATGAAGCAAAGTGGACAAAACAGGATTAAAAAGACTTGACAATTGTAGCAAAGCACAACTGAAAGAAAAAATATTGATCTAACTCAAGGAGAGCAATAAGCGACTTAGCAGAAATGACAAAAAAATATATTATTCTAGTCCAGAGGTGTAGAAAATCCTTTCTTGTCACACAGGGTTCAAGTCTAGGTGAACAGACTCGATGTTGGACAGTTACACATGACCAGAGACAATAGGGACAATTATAGTTGCGCTCACAACACAGGGGTTATGTACTACCATGCTAACTAACAGCAGTGCCTTTTCACATTCTGTTACAACAAACTTCAATGTAGTTTACTGGTACTTTATGTGGTCGACCAAGAAAAAGTACACAATAACAGTAGAAGGGGAGGAGTTGTATGAGCTTTGACAACTCATAGAGTGCTGTTCAATTCACTTCAAACCCACCTGCAGATGGCTGTCAACCTAATCTAATCCAAAGTTTAGGTTGAAACCAGGGATGCACTGACTCACTTCCAATACCGATACAGATATCTGAGGTTTAGTATCGACTGATGTGATGCAAAAAAATAGTGCTGAATGGAATTCAAATTTTTTATTTTATTTTTTGTAATACAGCCATAAATGTACTAAATTGTGTTTATTTAATGACTCTGCATCAGTACATTACACTTACATACACCGATAGCTTTGGTTACACATGTAAAACCAGTACAACTTTAATTTGTTCAGTCAGTGCAATTAGAAATAGAACAGCCAACAATAGGTTTCAAATTCTCAGTTTGAAACCTGCTGTTTCAAACTGAGAGTGATGAAACAATAGGTTGACTATGTTGGTCAAACATAAAAAACAAACCTTATTTCAAATGGCTCAAAAAGTGCTATTAAATGTAATGTAAAATAAGTAATAATAAAGCATGATGTTGTGCAGAGCACAAAGCATAGAATTTGACTGAATAAATCTGCCCATATGGATCAGACACATTGTCACAGATTTATTTATTTATTTTTTTCAATATTTGCACCGTGACAGATATGAATAACGAATCGGTGCATCTCTAGTTTAATGTGATTTTATTGAGCCGGTAAAAGATGGTGGATTAGTGTACCTCTATATTATTGTGAAACACTTTAGCCAAGTGATGTTCTTTTTTAATGTGCTACAGAAATACACTTGACAGTGATATTGTGACGCCTGAGGTATGTTTGTGCAATTCCTGAAGGATAGGCTCCTCCGAGAGGAAATTAACTCCTTATCCAGTCTTCCTGAGATCACTGTGTTCTAGAGGCAGAGCACTTATAAAATCTGCCAGAGTGAACTTGGGCACCATGCCCCTCCCACATTCACATACCCACAGTGCAGAGACTGTGATGTGTGGGAGATGGGTGGCAATCAGTCTCATTACTACACAGGAAGAAAGAACAGACAATTCCTTCTATCAGGTTATCTAGTAACATCGAGAAGCAGTGAAGAACAAACCTGCATAACAAGTTTACCTGCTACTGTTTATTTGGAACAACGTTTAAAATGTCAGTCATCGTGTTTGTTCCACTTCACAACCACTTAGCATCTTGTGTTGGTTTATCACAGGATATCCCCACCCCAAAAAGCCACATTGATGTTTGTGGCTATAATGTGACAAAATGTGAAAAGTTAACAAAGTCTGAAGTTTTTACATTTTGTTTGTCAAATTAGCTCCAATACTCACCAAACACTTCAGGAGTAATTGTCTGATTTTTCAGCGATTATTTATTTATTTTTTTTAACAAACTGCATAAAATAACCAGAGTGAACTGGCAGCAGAATACACTGTGCAGTTGGTATTGCACATGTAAAAACAACATTCCTTCCACACTGAATAACTTGAGTGTTTTCACATTGATTTGCACACTGTGATGCCTTCTGGCTCTCAGAGAAGCTTTCTAACATGAGACTAGAACTTTTTCAATTTATTTTCTGCGCTTTTCAGCCAGTTCCTGGCCAAAAAGCGCAGAAACGGGCATTTATTATATTGTTTATCATTTATTGTGATAAATTCCTCAGTATAAAATAAATTCTGATTTATTGTTGTCATGATAAATGCCAATTAATATTGTTTAATTCTCCCAAACTGTTCATATTGTTAGGATTCTTAGTTTTGCTATTTTCTCCAAAATATATTTATCAATTAATTTGACAATATGAATGTAATTACTGTGTGCAAAATGACGAGAATTGCTGGGACAGTGATACAAAGGGTACCTAATAATATTAGGTGTAGAACCACAAAAAATTACAATCATCTTAGCAATGTTTGCTAAGAAATCATTTTATTAAATGGATTAAGCGTTCACAGTCATATTTTGTATGTGACAGCGATGGCAGAGGCTCATCAGGCAGTAGCGTTCCAGTTCACCATCACACCAGAAGGCATCGACCTGCAGCTGTCCTACCAGGCCCTGAACCAGATCTACCTGTCGGGGGTCCGGTCCTGGAAGAAGCGAGTCAGCCGCATGAAGGTAGAGTTCATCTGTCACATCAGCGTCATTACGCCTCACATGCTTGTCCACATCATTCTTGTGAACCAAAATTCCTCCTGAATGCCTTTCATGAAATGTCTTTCAGTTTGCATCAATACCCCATTGGATAACTGGATGAACTAATTTTATGCTTGGAGTTGGGACAAGATATAACAAAAAGCAACATATTGTTCTTCATTTAAGGCAACATACCTGAAATACATGCCAGTGTTATAGCATATTAAGGTTTTAATGCCATGCCATCAACACTATAAGCTACAATTTTCTCTCATGCTGTTGCTATGGTTTAAATTCATTTAAAAAGAAGTGAAAAAAGTTGAGTGATGATGTTTTGACAAACCTTGACTATATATTTAGTTTAACCTATCAGTGAACAGGCTTTGGATAGAGTTGGCTGTGTTCTTTGCTAAAGTCATGCTGAGAACATTAGTTTGAGCTTGTTTTTGTTCTGAACAACAGCCACTGTCCCCTTTTTGGTCTTCAGTGAGACAGAAATGACAGACAGACCCGCCCAGCAGATCTGGTCTGCACATGCCCAGTTAGCAATTGTGTATTTAATGACTTTTCATACCAAAAAAGTTTTAGAAGGCTTTTTAAAAATCAGTGATCAATCCAAAAACCTCAATCAGGGCACATCAAATTATGTGTCTAAAATTATTTCACTTAGTTTTACTACATTGTTTTCCAACTTTACATCCCGAAGTAGATCAAAGTGTTTGGTCACTGTCTTGACTTGTCTTGAATAATGTTGAGTTAAAGTAATATATTGCTTTAGATAAATCTTCAAACTGTTTTATTATGTTTCTAAACTCTGGAGTTTAGAGCAACGCAAGCCCTCCAACATGATGATACACGGAAAATATTGTGCGATAGAACCCTGTCGACTGGATTTACAAATGTCTCTAGAAATCATTTAGAAACTGACAGAGACAGTACAAACCTGTGTAACTTATTGTGAGTTTTATCTCCAGTGAATTTTCATACCTGAATAGGTAAAAATTCTTTAGTCGCCAAGACTTAATAGCAACTTGCCACGACATGTGCGGGTGTGTCAAGTGTTGCGATAGTATGCTGAAATGTTGTTTATAACCAGGAAGAAAAAGAATCCAGAGGCCTCTAATTAATGGCGTCAGATTACAATCATAATTATATACAAATCACAAAAAGCAGGTGTTAAATATTTTGTTATGCCATAAATTTATACTGGCTAATCTGTTGGAAAGCAGTTTTGTAAGGTTCAACAGTTTTAGTTAGTAGTCTATAAACGATTAGTCATTCATTGAAAACATGAGTATTTCTTCAACCGCCACCATATACGCATGCACACCCACATACACACACCCACGCACACACAACCCGGTTCAGGGAGTGGAATCGCCCAGAGAGTTGTCTCTGTTTTCTTCTTGCTACAATACCTTCCAAATGACTTTCTTTTAACTCCACAATTTGTCATGTTACATTCACAAACTTCCAGGAGTTTTCATAGGATTTTATAAAATAAATAGACCCAAACAGTGCAGTAAAAGGTATTTGGTGTTTTCTACATATTCATTTCACAAATTAAAATCTAATTTGTGAAATTTAGAGTGTAATTCTCTTCAGAATTGCATGCTACACAGTTTTAAAAGATTAAAACCATCTTTTCCTGCAGTTACAGCTGGAAGTCTTGTGGGCCAGTGATTCTAAAAATATGCTAGTCTTAAAAATATTTTTCCATTTTCTTTCTGCAAAATAGCTCAAGTTCAGTCAGATCCGAAGCAACAGTGAAAAACGGGGAAAAAAAAGCATTTCTGATCATATTTTACTTTGGAAAGCTGAGTTAAATCACTCAGATTTATTCATCTGAGAATTGATCTAAAAAAGATTGAGAAATATAAATTAGGCGAGTCAGTAAAAAATTAATTATTTTTATTTATTGTTAAAAAAAAAGTATTTTATAAAAAAAAATACTAGAAGCTGAGATGGTTTACAGATTACATTAACACTAAAAGCCCTTGATCTGGAGAAAATCAAGTATAATCAATTTTAAATGAAGAAACAAATATTTATGTACATTTGTTCTAAAAGCAAAGAAAAATACAGATTTTAAAATCACGTTTTGCTTTTCTTTTCTGCCATCACAGAACAGAGTGATAAAGGGAGTGTATCCTGCTAGCCCGTCGTCCTGGCTCTTTGTTGCCATAGGGATCCTGGCTACCATGTATATGCAGTCTGATCCCAGCATGGGGCTCATCGCAAAGATACAGCAGCATCTTCCTCTGAGGTAAACAGAGTCTGGATGAGCTGGCTTTAAAAACCACCAATAAAGACATAAGAGAAAGGAAACACTATTAAGTGTTGATGTGGAAATACTAGATTTTTAAAGAAAAAAGTTACATGTGTTTTAGTTTTTCAATCACATTTTAAGACAGAGATATAAGTAGGGTAAATACAAACATTTTTCAAATGTTCATATGAGAATTTTTTTTAAATGTTCTTAATTCAGGTAGGTATTTACTCAATCCTACCTGATCCTGTGTGAAAATATATTCACGGTCTTTGTTTTAAATGTTTTAATGTGTTTGCTTTGAAACAAACCAAAACAGAATACATTTGGAAGGAAGCAGCTACTTTCCCAGTTGTAGCATCAGCACTGATTATTTAAAAAATCAGTGCTGATGTTGCTTTTTTACTCTGAATATTATCTTATATAGCATATTTTTCCATGCACTTTATTTTAATCACGTATGATTCTGTCTTGAACATTGAAAGTCGACTGCTTCCTTTTACCAGTAGATGGTGCTGTTGCTCTTTCCTAGTCTTAGTTCTCCAGACACATTTTATCTGTAAACATAAATGCTTTTTCCCATTTTATTCATCAGAATTAATTGAAGATCATGTTAATATTTATATTTTCCTTTGTGATAATGTTTGTTCCCATCTTTCTGCGCAGACTGCATGTTTCTCTGAGCAGTCAGGGTCAAACCATGGTGTCAGCTCTGGTCTTCAGCACCCTGCTGTGGCTCTCCCTCATCCTCGCCCTGCGCTTCTGCCTCAAGCTGCTGCTCTCCTACCACCACTGGATGTTTGAGCAGCATGGGAGAGTCTCCAACACCACCAAAGTCTGGGTGGTAAGAGCCAAGCTATTTCCTGCCCTTACCAGTGATTGTCATTTATTGCTACATCTGAGTGGATTTTCATTTAAAATCTGTTTTATAGAACTGTTATTATCATCTGTTAACTTTCTGAAAGTGACACAGAGATAATTTTTTTTGTTTTTCTCAGAGTCTGATGAGGTTATTTTCAAGAAAGAAGCCTTTGCTCTACAGCTATCAAACCTCCCTTCCTCACCTCCCCGTTCCTGCCATACAAGACACTCTGAGCAGGGTAATTCTTCTTCATCTGGTCTCTCTTCTTCTCTGCATAGCGCTCTCCTGTGAGTTTCTGTGAACAGCCATGTCTGTGTAGGATTTGCATTTGTTACATTTGTCCCACCGTTCAGATTTCATCAAGCTGTTTGTTTATTACTGTTCTCTGACAAACTTTCACAGAACATATGAACCACATTATATTTATATATTAGGTAACTTCTGAAGGAAATACACGCTTTTTATGTTTGAATTTTCAAACAGTAAAAAAAAGTCTCATCACTTTCCTTTCACTTTTTGTTTCTGTACCACTAAAAATCTCAAGAAATACATTGAAACTATTAAAAACCTGAAAAGGTTTAAGGGATAGATATATGTATAATAAAACAGCTCTAATACCCACATACACATCTCAATTACCCCTCTTTACCTTCCTCTTGTAACTCCCTGTTTCTCTAGCATCTAGAGTCAGTGCGCCCTCTGCTGACGGATTCAGAGTTCCATCAAATGACTAAGTTGGCCAATGAGTTTGAATCGACCCTTGGACACCGGCTGCAGCGCTACCTAAAACTCAAAGCTCTATGGGCTACCAACTATGTAAGTGTATTCCTTCACTGATCAAATATAAAAAATAAAGATTAATAACTTTGTTTCATTTGCTGGTCATTTCTTGCCCATTTTTTTCTTTGTGTGTGCGTGACAGTTTGAGACATTTATCACAATCTAAACTGTCTATTTAATTTTTTATTACTAAGTTTGCTAATAAATTATAAGCAAATATATGAAAAGCATTAGAAGTAGTTGGCTAAGTCAAACAAAGAGCATTCTTGGTTTGTTTTGTTCTGTGGGAACTGGAAAGAAGAAAATTAGCAGGTCTTCTGTTTGGGTTCCAGGTGAGCGACTGGTGGGAGGAATACGTCTACTTGAGGGGCCGAGGGCCAATAATGGTCAACAGTAATTACTATGGCATGGTAAGAAATTGTGTTTCTGTTTCCACTTTAAGCTACTACATTCTGTAAGGTATGTTTATAGTAGGTGTATATCACCAGTACATTTTCAAAGATATGGCATTTCTAATTTGATAGCATCAGAGATTTAAAAAAAACAAACAGCTGAAGTCAGAACTAAAGAAATTGAACAATATTTTTCTGTTTACAGAACAATCTGTCTAAAAAAAATTAAAATAAATTTTTTCTTTTACAAAAGTAATATTTTATATATTGCCAAGTTGGGATGAAGGATATTGAGAAAATAGCGTGATGTATCATTAGAAAAACAATATATAATCTTCTTTTTGTTATTTAATTTTTTTCTGCATTGACTGTGTTGTGTCCTAAAGTGTATAGTTATGTGTATGGAAGGTTGATTATGCTTAGTTGCTTATGTTATAGCAAAGAGGCAAACTTTTTATTCAAAACCATCGTTTGTATCCACATGTGACATGTTTATTTTAAATTGAATTAAGTAAATTGTAATCTTTCTTGCTTGTTCGCTGCAGGACTTCCTGTATGTGACGCCAACATCAGTTCAGGCAGCGCGAGCTGGAAACACTATCACTGCTCTCATGCTCTACCGACGCAAAGTAAACAGAGAGGAGCTCACACCGGTGAGGACCTACACACTGCTGCAGGGAGTGGATTTTTTTGTAGAATTTTTATTTTATTTTTTTTTTTATCATTTTTTTTCTCCGAAAAGTTTTTGCGGCGCCAGTGGCTCATATTTGTGATAGTAGGCGGACAGGAAAGAGGGCTGAAGACAGCAGCTTTGCAGCACACCACCACAGCATGCCCATTTGTGGGACTTATATAAAGCTTTCACATGTGTGAGGTTTTTTGAGTCAAATTTCTTTTTTTGTATTTTCTTTGTTTTTTTCTGATACTTCATTTTTTAAAACTTACTTTTACTGAAAGTAGCTAATCTTTAGTCTGTTATCAGTACCTAAGTACACTTGTGAGACAGGTGAGACATTTGACCGCTTCCAACATTCGAGTTTACTTGAGACTTTTAAGATGTGCAATTTCATTGTGCGCTTACTCTTATTGCGGGCTTCGGGAAATGTCACTTAAAGCTAGAGAAGCATAGAGATGTATCAATTATAAAGAATGTTTGTGTGATTCTGTTTCAGAGTCGCGTTCCGGGCACCGTGATCCCTCTGTGTGCAGCTCAATGTGAGCGGATGTTCAACACCACACGAACACCAGGAGTCGAGACTGGTAGGAAACTCTGCATGCAGAGCCCTCCCTGCTACGGACAGAGGGGAAAAAAATCAGGAACTGAATCATTTTCTTCATTTTTCCAGATGTGCTCCAACATTGGCAAGACAGCGAGTTTGTGGCAGTGTACCACAGGGGGCGTTATTTCCGGCTGTGGGTGTACCGGGCAGGCCGGCTGCTGTCTCCCAGAGAGATCGAATATCAGATACAGAGAATCCTGGACGACTCTTCACCACCGTTTCCTGGAGAGGAGAAACTGGGTGCTCTGACAGCTGGAGACAGGTAGCTGCTATCTGCAACATCTGTCTCAGTTTAACCACTTGTTTCATTGATCTGGGTTTTATTAACTCCACTATCAAGTTATAAAGAATACACAGAATACTTCCTTTTTATTTTGTCTTCATGTTTTGACAATGCATTTGGGAACTTTTATCATTATTTTTTTTAGAACTCAATTGCACTTATGTGACTGCATTGAGTTCTAGTGCTGCAACAGACAATTAGTTTGGTTATGAATTATTCTGACGATTAATTGGACAAAAGAAATTGCACGCTCTGCATTTAAGCCTTCTTTATACAATATTAGAAATGCATTAACAGTTGTAAATCAACAAATAAATGAATTTTTTAAATGAAGATTTTATTGCTTAATATTCAATGACAGCAGTCTTTTAGTGAATGCTTGATTATTTGTAACAGAGGAGGAATCTTCAGCTTAAAACATCAACATGAGAAAATCATCAGTACGGTGTAGCTGTTCTGTTGACTAGTTTTGGATTAATAGGTTAATAATTGGATATCAAAAGGTTTTTAATGAAAGACTTGTTTACAGAATTTGAACAAAATTTTTGTCTTAAAGGCAAAAGTTTTATTTTTTTTGCACTGTTTTGACTTAATGACTGCTCTGAGCGTATTGTTTTTTAACATGTGACCTATTTTAAGTCTTTACAATCCAGTTAACAATTAATCGATTACTAAACTCGAAGGTGATTATTTCAATAATCAATTCCTCACGATTAATTGTTTCAGCCCTATTTGTACCCTTTGTATTTATGAGTCTAATGTGTGTGAACTGAGGATTTAAACAACATCTCAGTGATTATAAGGTGTGTGTCTCCGCTCCAAGGATCCCCTGGGCTCAGATGCGGCAACAGTTCTTCACATCGGGCCTCAATAAGAAGTCTCTGGATGCCATCGAGAAGGCGGCGTTCTTCATCACGCTGGACGACGAAGAGCAGGGCATGAAGGGAGACGACCCGGCAGGGAATCTAGATCGCTACGCCAAATCTTTGCTCCATGGCAAATGTTACGACAGGTGAGACCCAACGGGGAAATAACCATCGAGCCAACATTCTTTTTAAAGCATAATAACAATAATAGTAATTCACATTAAAGAGCTTAGGTTTGTCCATATATCTCAGGAAGTGGATACTTAAATTTCTAAGGATTTGATCAACAGTCATAGTAATACTTACAAAATCAAGATTGCAGCTCAACATTTCAAAGTGAATCTCACAGTTTTTCAAAGTAAAATCATTTTCATGAATGATGGCATTTTTTTTTATTACAATAACTTGGTCAAGAAATCTGTAGTTTTATTGAATTTCATTGGAGATTTCAGTCTGGGGCTGGGTTTTTTTGAGCTATATATTCCACAGCAGTTTGTTGTTATGTGATCCGTTCTATACATCACAGCAAATTCCGTATTGATTTCTCCAGTCGTTCATGTCACTGTTAGTCATCCAGAATCATCTCTTACTGTAGCATTTTTCTCTGTTACTTTTTCCTTTCTTCTGTTAGGTGGTTTGATAAATCCTTCTCCATCGTGATCTACAAAAACGGGAAGAACGGCCTGAATGCAGAGCATTCCTGGGCCGATGCGCCGACAGTGGCCCATCTGTGGGAGGTACACACGTCTGTTACAGCTGTGGCATGCTGGGAATGTTTTTCTTTATGGGAGTGGTTTAAGATGATGTGAGCTATGTAAAAAAAAAAAACAGAAAAAAGCTCACTTGTCTTAAACAGTAAGGCAACAAGAAGCTACATTTTTAACATTGTCATTGTGTGTTTTGTTGAGAGTAAACCCACCGGCAGTGTGTTGATTTTGTAGGATGTAGTTTGATGCTGAGAGTCAAAACTGCCACGTCTCCGGATGAAAGCTACTCCGCTCATCTAGATGTCACTGTTTTTGTGTTTTTCTTTCCCAGTACACTCTGGCTACAGATGCCTTCCAGCTGGGCTACACTGAAGAAGGACACTGTAAAGGAGAGGTGGATCTGTCGCTGCCGCCGCCTCAGAGGCTGGCGTGGGATATCTCTCCAGAGGTATCTGCTCTTTGTGTCAGACTTACTGTTACATACCATCATTTTATGTGGCACAGAAACACAACCAAGTAGCACATTGTTGTAATGTCAATATAAAACATATACATATGTGCTGTCTATGTCTTCTGCATGGCTTATGGGAAACTAAAAACAGGAATTACCATATTTCCCTAAAGTGCAATTTTCAGCTTCTGACATTAAACAAATTTAAAATGTCTCTTAAAAAGTACAAAATTTGGTTTTGTCCAGAAGTTTAGATACGTATTAATAAAATTGGGAATGTAAAACAATCTTGATTTTCCAGGTGGTCATGATTTGTGTCATAATTTGCCAAATCACGTTAATTTCAACATGTTACTCATCAGAACATGTTGGCTTTTTTACCTTTCTACTTACTGATTAAAAGCAAACTCATTCAGAAATTCAAAACGGGAACATTTTATTAACTGATCTCTAAGCAACTGGATTTTTGGTTTCCAGAATAATACTGCAAAAGCACAAAATCGCATCAAGTGTTTTTGGTGTAGTTTGTAGTGAAAGTATCTCAGTACACTCGAAATGAGACAAAACTAACTTACAAGGAACTTATCAGCAAGATTTAGAAGCGTGTTTTAAATCAATAAATCCTTGAATCTGATTAAAACTTTCGAGTTCCATTGTTATAAGTGAAATAATCTGCCAGTGGAACAAGCTCCTAATTTTATTTTAAGATTTGGGAGTTTATTCTAAGCTTGCTGAAAAGTTATTTCTAAGCTGGTTTTGTCATATTTCAAGTATACCAAGATATTTACACTAGAAATTAGACCAAAAATACTTGGTAAGACTTTGTGTGTTTTTGCAGTGAAAATGTAGAAAGAAAATGTGCCACTTCAAGTCTGCTAGTGGTTGAAATCCTATGTCAGTCTTTGTCAGTCTGCCAAAAGGTCCCTGTCAGTTTCAATTTAAGGTTCTGCTTCTAAAGTCCAAGAACAACTTTAAGAAAGTCCTTTTAAGCTAAGTGTGCATGAAGGGAATTGATATGTATTTACTTTAACTTTAACAGGACATAAATGTTTTTATAGAAAAAGCAGATACTGTAATTTCCGGACTACAGGGTATAAAGCGCACCTGATCATAAGCTTTAAGTATATTTTTAAAGGAAAAAATATTTTGTACATACATAAGCCACACTTCTCTATGTGCCTACATGGAAACATGATATATTTACAAAGAAATACGGTACACAGAAAGAGTTTTCAAAGCTTTAATAATATACCTTAGCTTTTCTTTCCAAACAGTGCCTGTGACAGGCTGTAACACAGCAGCAATATGGTAATAACACAGCACTAACAGGACTGAGAGCCATCTTCATCTTCCTCCTGTGCACTGAAACCATGGAAGTCTTCTTCCTCAGTGTCGGATTGAAATAGCATCAGATATTCTTCGCCACATACTCTCACAGTTTCTCTTTTGTTGTTCTTTATTGGTCAGCTCGATTGCTTTTGACTTGAAAGCTGCGTCATATGCATTTCTTCTTGCATTTTCCATTTTATTCATGCACAAAGCACAAAGTTACATTAAACTTGCGTCTTCCTGCACATATATTCTCACTCTTACCTTTTCTGCTCGAGCGCCCCTGGCGGCTGTTAGAAAAAATGCATAAATTAGCCGCGTCATTGCATAATGAAAGCATGTGACAAAAATCACAGCTTACAGTCTGGAAATTACGGTACATATTGCTTCTCACATCTCTGTGCTCTCACAATTGAACATGTCAACTTCATTCCCTTACAGTTCTGTCAGCACTGAAGACTTCATCATTTTCCTTCCATCTGTCAGGTCCAGGCTCAGGTCTGCAGCTCCCTGGTGGTGGCCCAGGCTTTAGCTGACGATGTGGACTGCCACGTCTTCCCCTTTAGGGATTTTGGAAAGGGTCGCATCAAGAAGTGCCGGGTCAGCCCCGATGCATTCATCCAGATCAGCCTGCAGCTGGCCTACTACAGGGTAACCATCAAAAACACTTCATTTGAAATTCATGTTCTGCAGCTAAATTCAGAAATTTAGCCAATTACTTAATTGGCTAAATATTAATGTTCAAATGAAAATAGAACATTAATATCCAGATCCTTCACTAATGGGCTCTTTGCATGTCAGCTTCTGCATTCAGGAAAAAGCGGCTCAGTCATTTTCATTCTATTGAAAATGGCATTTTACACCTGGTGCTTGCCAGGCTTGCCCAAGGTAACAATTAATGATGTGCATTGATCCGAAGCTCTAACAAATAAGCTGGAGAAAGGTTTTAAGATTTACGACTCATACATTCACAGGTCTGAAGGTGCATTTTACTTTCTTTGAACTTTGTGGCTAACATTAACTTTAGCTTATGCTAGTAGGCAAGATGCCCTGTGAAAGACTGGCAACCTGTTACTTTTGCATGCTTCTTATGAATACAGCCTGTGTCTGTATTCAGACAAGTAAATAAACGAGCCATAACTCAGCTCGTTTATTTACCTTCTTTAGACTGAAGAAGCTGAGTGAAATGAAGGTTGCAAACTTTGCTGTGCGGTGTTAGCTTTAATTGGTAGCGACAAATATTTACAAACCCACTAATTCAGGATTGCTTGGAAATCCATGGGAACTTAAAGGCCTATTACATTAGGAAGACAACATTGATCTTGGAATTGCTTTATTTGTTTCTGAAATGCGTCTTTGTCTTTTCTAGCTGTAATGGTAACTCAAAGCAGAAAGCTGCATTTGTTCATGCAGATGTGACATCGGTGCTGTATGTGCAAAGAGCACATACACGCCAATGTGTCTCCCAGAAAATTAGAGACTAATTGGGTAAAACTAAAATCCAACAAAAACATTCACCAGAATTTTGCATCCCAGATACATTTAATGGAGCTATAACTTAGTTGTATATATGGATTGTGCTTCAGACCGTTTACTTAAACCACATCTAACTCTTGTCTCCAGGACCGTGGTGGTTTCTGCCTGACATACGAGGCGTCCATGACCCGTCTGTTCAGAGAGGGCCGCACGGAAACGGTGAGGTCCTGCTCCAAAGACAGCTGTGCCTTTGTCCGAGCTCTGGAGAGTGGACAAGTAAGCATTTTCACTTCCTACAGCTTGCATGCAAACTTTTTAAGCAGTTTATGTCAGTAGCTGCTGATTCAAAGAAGAGGATTAGAACTACTGGAAAAAAATTTTCTTAGAATTCTGGCTTCTGATCTCAAAAGTTTGAAGTTAGAATTCTGACTCGTTTCCTCAGAATTCAGACATTATATTCAGAATTCGGAGAAAAGGGTTTACCTTATTTTCTCCGAAGTTTGAATTCTTTTTTTTCAATGGCCCTAATCTTCTTCTGTACTAATTAAAATTGTCTTTCGACTGTAAAACTTTTCTTATCCTTTTAATGACAAAATGCTAAATGTTTGAACAGACGGAGGAGGAGTGCAGACGTCTTTTCAGATTGGCTTCAGAGAAACACCAGAACCTTTATCGAATGGCGATGACCGGCGCTGGGATAGACAGACACCTCTTCTGCCTCTATGTCGTCTCCAAATACTTAGGAGTAGATTCGCCATTTTTGCACAAGGTACTTATTTGTTACAATCAATATTTCTTGCATGTTTTAACCATTTGTTAAATATTAGACATTTTTCATTAATTATGTCTCATTCTCCTTCTAGTTTAACATAACTTTCTGTTGGTTTTTATTTCATAAAATCTCAATGAAATACGTTGAGGTTGGTGGTTGTAGTGTGATTTAAAAAAGGATCTTCCATCATGTCAAACCTTTGACCTCCTCATGTTCGTGAAATTTCAGACACAAAACCACGAATACCTATGTTTTAAAAGCATTTTGTACATTTTGAAAATGGATGATTTTATTTTTTCAACAATTTTAAAATTTATTATTATTACTTCGAGTGAAAACACGTTTCACTTGATTTTTTTAATTTTACTTCAAACTGGATTTTTACGTAAAAGCGCCAGCATTCTGGAAATATCCATGGACCGGATTTAATTTTCCATGATTGTGTGCCTCACCAAACAATAAAGCATTTCTCCCACCATGTCTACGGTCCAGGTTCTGTCAGAGCCTTGGCGCCTCTCCACCAGTCAGACCCCGGTCCAGCAACTGGAGCTGTTTGATTTGAAGAACAACCCAGATTACATTTCACTTGGAGGAGGATTTGGACCTGTAAGCACACACACTCCTTAAACTAACCTTCAGTTTGAATGTCTGCAGATACTCTATTTAGCTCCAGTATAGAACCACATGAATACAGTTATTTGTGGTAGAGCCACCATGCTGGTTCTGTTGGACCTCAGCACAGCATTTGGCACTGTGGATCATTGCATATTATTGAAACAACTGGAGAGTTGAGTAGGACTCTCTGGTCCAGCACTCAGTTTCTTCTAGTCTTACAGTCTTTGTGTCAACAGAGAACTTCTTAAAGAAGTGGACAAAGTCGCATGTGGGGCACCACCAGGTTCAATTCTCGGGCCCCTCTTATTCAATATCTATATGCTCCCGCTAGTTCTGGTTCTAATAGAAAATATGATTAGCTACCATAATTACGCAGATGCTACACATTCTGATGTCAGCAGGTGACTCAGAAACATCCAATCACTGAACAGATGCTTACAACAGATAAATATATGGATGTGCCATAACCTTCCCCAACAGAATACTGAAGTTATTATCTTTGTACCTAAAGAGGAGCGACCCAGAGTCGACACACAGCTTCAGTTATTACAACTGGAAACTAGCAAAACTCTGACCTGAACCTTCAGAGCCACATAAAGACATTTACAAAGTCGCCCCTCTGTTGCCTGAAGAACATTTCCAGGATTAGAAAACTAATGTCTCAGCAAGATTTAGACACTCATTCATGGTTTTATCTTTAGTCGCATTAATTCCTGCAGCAGCATCTTCACTGGTCTGAATAAAAAAAAAATCAATCCTCCAGTTGCAGCTGATCCAGAACGCTGCTGCTGGTGTTCTGACTAAAATCATTAAGCTACAGCACATCATCCAGTTCTACAGTCCTTTCACCGAGAGAAAAAGACTTTAAGATACTGTCAGTGTATAAATTACTGAAAGACTTAAAATCACAATACATTAAAGATCATAAAAGACCTTGCAGGTCTTCTGGTTCTGATCTGCATCCAGAACCTGAACCAAAGATGCAGAACCAGCATTCAGCTTTTATGCACCACAAATCTGGGACTAACTTCCAGAAAACTGAGAAACAGCTGAAACACTGAGCTTCTTTAAATCATGCTAAAAACCCAGCTGTTTAGAGCTGCTTATGAACCATAATAAATAAAACATGGACCAGCATATGCTCAACAAAATGACCATTTAGATCATGTGATGATTCCTGCAGACATTCAAATGTTTATTGCTTGTTTCTCAAGCAATAAACATTTTTTATGATGTAAAACATTTTTGAACTGCCTCGCTGCTGAAATGTGACATAGAAATAGACTTCACCCATAAGGGTCAACAGCTTAGAAATAGTCCAGAGCAACAATGACAAGATCATAAAAGTGTCAAAATATGTATTTAAACATAAGAAAGATCAGGCATTTTTATCTATGGATGGATTCAGGCATTTATCGAAAATGCCTGAATCCAGCTCAGGCATCTTTTCTACCTCCACTATGGATTGATACTGTTTGTTTTTAAGAAACAGCAAAAAAGAATAAACTGCATAAAGACAACACTGTACTTTGTGCTTCCAGACAAGTAGGAAGAGTGAAAAACACTGAAAAACCGTGGAACAAAAACACACTAATGCAGGATTTGTATCCCACCAGGTTGCAGATGATGGTTATGGGGTTTCATACATCATTGTCGGCGAGGACCTCATAAACTTCCACGTGTCGTCAAAGCACTCCTGCAGTGAGACTGTAAGTAAAGTCTCTTCACTTCTGATTGGTGTTCAGATTTGGTCCTCATTTACTCCACAGTCAGGAGAGTTGGAGCGCTCTTCATCCTGTCATTTCAGCTTCCCAACCACAAAACACAAACAGAGTCAGGACTCCTTCCCTGTTTTCACTTCCTCATTCCCACATGTCACATGTTTTATTACCGTGAAATAACAATAATTTCATGGTAATGAAACTGTTAAACGTTATTTTTCCAGTCTGAAAATGTGCTGACAGTAATTCTAATAAATTAACTGAATAAAACACATTGAAGTCTGTGGTTGTAATGCAACAACATGTGAAAAAGAGTTTTAGGACATGAATATTTACAGTATTTACTCTTTATCATTTTCCCCTTCCCTCTTTTCTTTATCTTTGCTTCTTTAGGACTCCCACAGGTTTGGAGCTCAGATCCAAAAAGCCCTTCAGGACATAATGGCTCTGCTGTCAGCTGATGCTAAAAGCTCTTCCTCCTCCAAAGGCTCCAACCAGCCGCAGTCCAAGAAGCTCATCTAAAGCATGTTATCCTTGTTACCTCACAGTCCAAGAGCTGTGATGGGACAGGATCAAGGTAATATCAGGCATCACATCCTGGTGATAAACAATACCACAGAAATGAGGTGTTGTTTTTGACAAAACATTAGATTTCAGCTAATAAAAAGATTATTTTTCTCCTGTATAACTCTGAAAGAACAAATGACAGGCTAACAGGCTGTTTTTTTATTATTATTTTATTTTAAATGTATGTCTAAACAACTACTTGGTAAGAGCAGAAAGGCCTCTCCTTTCTTTAATATTAGAAACATCAAGCTAATGTTGGCTCTTATGTTAGCTATGCTAACTGCTCAGGATTCTTGCCTTTTCTGCCTTTAATTTCTAAACCTGGTGAAGCTATGATATGACAACGTTTTCAGTAAGTCCAAGCAAGAGTCAGATCCACAAAGAGAAATTTCACCAGGGAGAAATCAAAGTAAGAATGACACCGCAGGCGGTGCTGGTACGTCTTCACAAGAGCTAATCAGGGAACAATAGACTCACCTGCTGCCTTATTAGGTGTTCCTTGGTTATAGCAGCTTAGACCTTTTCTAGCAAGCGGTTACCTTAGCTTCTGTTGGTTTTATTTCATCTTGATCCAAAGTGTCTATCTGATAATGGAGTTTTCTCATTTTGAAACAGCCATGCTACATTTAGTTACTGAAATCTCTGTTCTTCCTCCTTCTTACACTCCAATAGTGTTTCAACAAGTCATCCTATTCTCTTCTAGATGGATAAATATATTCCTTGTGATTGGCTTATTTACTGTTTGTGTAGGGCTGCAACTGATAATAATTTAGTTACAGATTAATCTATCAATTATTCTGATGATCAATTGATCAATTGGCTAAAAGAAAACATGCACATTCAGCACTTTCATTTAAGTCGGTTTTCTGTAATATTAGAAATACATTAAAAGGTGCAATTAAACAAATAAATAAATATTTTTGTAATTAAGAAAATAAACTTTTTATGACCTAAAACACAATACCAGCATAACTCCAGTGAATGCTTGACCATGTGTAGTAAAGGAAGCATCTGCAGCTAAATTATCCTTCTAACAACACATGCTTGCTTGACGTAACACAGTGTTGGACTGATTTGTTGACTTTTTTTTTTCGATAAATAATTGGATATCAAAAGGTGCTTAATTGGAGATTTATGTTTTTCCGAATTTGAATCAGGTGAAGCTAACACTGCCCCTTGAGGAACTCTGTATGGAGCAGATTTACAGACAAAATTGTTTTTGTTTGTTTTGTTTTTTTACCTTAAATGCAAAGTGTATGCATATTTTTGTACAATTTTGGCTTAATGAATGCTTTAAGCGTTGTTCTTTAAGCCTTTTTTAAGTTCTGTTTTGTTCATTTACTAAATAATTTGACGATTATTTCAATAATTAGTTAATCAGACAGAAATGCATGTCTGTTAACACACATCTGAACAGGTGTGGCTAATAAAGCAGCAGTTGAAAGCATATTAATGACATAGACACTGCTAGCTTACCTCACCATGGTGTTTGTAGCTGCCATTGTTCCATTATGAAGTACGATCAGATCTCTACCAGGGTGAGAAGCCACTGACATGTAATCAGTTAAGGGTTTGAATCCCTCTTCGAGGGCCTCAACCCCAATGTGTGGAACCAGAGCTCTTAATCCACAAAATGTAAATATTGTATATATCAAATCATAAACAGATGAGGAGAAATTTGTTGGAACCCATAATAAATAAATGTAAAAAACCCCAAAATATTTTATGTGCTGCAATCCAGCCTTTAGTAAAACCAAACAGGTGGTGTCTGAGTACATTACCATTTATACTGAGCTGTTTATGGCATAAAGGTTAGCAAGAAGGGAAAGAGAAGCACTTTTTCAAACGTGTTTTGTCAGTGATTTGTATTATAAAGATGTAGATATAATGTGAAGGAGATGTGTCAGTACTAGAAGTAGATGATCTAGTACAGATTTATATTGCTCATTTAATGGTTTGTATTTGGGGAGGAGGTAAGAGGGTGTTGCGTAAGGGCCCACGAATGTCCATACTGCCTTTTTGGTTTACAAATGTAACTTTGAACAAGACTCCGGCTTCAGCTCCACATGAATCGTTGCTCTCATAGTGCAGTAGTAGTCATCCTTACTCTCAGCTTCCTTTTAACCACAGGCAGCTTGCTTCGCCAAAAGAAACTTACTCTTTAATAGTCTTGAGCACAAGACGGTGTATAAACATGCCAGGGGTTTCAGCCCTGGCCATAAGCCTGCTGCCTGCAGAGGCAAAGCCCTGTGCGTGTGTGAAAATGTTTACTCTGCTCAACAGTATCAATGCAAATGAAAGAATCAATGCAAAACCAGCGGGAAACCTCTTACAATAAAATGCTCAGCGGTTATGTTTTAATGAGAACGTGCTACAGTTTGGCCAGTTTGCTGCTGTTTGTACCGTCAGAATTTGTAACCCGTCTTGTAAAGTGGTGGGAAAACTGCTTCATCCCAGCTACATAAGTCTGCTTAATGTGTTAGCCTGAAACATTTTGTTGACACATGAAATATTTAGTAACTAAACAAACATTGGACACATGCAGTTCTTTTTCTCTTAGATTATCCTTCCAGGAAGTGATAAAACAGCTCGTCATTAGCTTTGTTTCCATTATAAATGTGCACAAAACTTAGACAATATTAAAAAAAAAACAATTTCATAATTGCTGTGTTTTTATTAAATAAGAAATTAATTAAAATCACATGTGAATCAGTTTGTTCATTTATGAGTCAGTGAAAACCATCCTCTGACCACTTCCTGTCGTTTATGCTAGTAGTAATACCTCAATGTTGATCATGTGACTCGGATGATGCAAAAAATTTGTTTCTATTGCAGTTTTACAGAATAAACCAATTTTGACACAGCCGAGAAAAACTTGTGCTTCATTAAGCAATTTTATTTTCACAATTTCAATTTGCACAGTGTCATTACTAATAGAAACACAGCTAGTGTCAGTCACATAAATACCTTCTATGAGGTGTCTGTGTGTCCATGTGGTAAGGAATGTTTCTGTATTCTGGAGGTGGAAAAACCACAGATGGTTGAAATGTCTGTAATCCAGACCATTTCATTTCCCACCAAAACTGATGTTGAAAATATTCTAAAACTGCCGCCTCAGCACATTACTTCTCAGAAGCTTGAAAAGATTTTCTCTGTGAAACCCTGAGGAATCCCACTGGCTACCTTTAGTTGTTGTGTTTGTCTATACTCGCGTTCTTTTACTCGTACTGCTGCTTCTTTACCAAGCTACAGCTCTGCTCAACAAAACACCATTCATGTGTCAGACGGCTTGAAAAGCTGAGAACACAAAAGACTTTGCCTTTCAAATTTTGCTGAAGATATACTTGATGACTCTTCAAACGAATAATCTCATCTGGAAGAGTTTCTTATAACGCTGACACAATTGTTACCGTGTTGTGGTTTCAGTCTCCGTTAAATCAAGATCTTCAACAAACAAACGCGCATCCCTCATAGTCCAGCACATATTTTTGTCAAATATTTTTTATTCATACGGTGCAAAAAGCTGTTTGTTTTCTACCATCTGATATTGTTTTTATTTTTCTCTGTGTCCCCTGACAAAAGCAGATTTGTTGAATATGATTTCGTACTTTTATTTCTAAACCGTATTGAAACATCTGTTTGGAACTTTGTGATGGTTTTTGGTTTGTGTTAAAATAAATTGTTTACTGACAAAGTTCTGTGTCTTTTGTCTTTTTTTGGTAAACTGTACAACATTAAATGAACAACATTTAGAGGGAATTCTGTCAAATTGTGAGGAATATTTTTTTCAAGTTTTTCTTGAACTATTCTAAATCCTATTCTAAATCACCAGTTCCACTGTACATTTGGTTATTACTAACACAGGAGAAGTTTGTCAGTGATTTGTATTATAAATCACTACTTTACTATTGAAATACTGCTTTCAGTAGTAAAGTAGTAAAGTAAAGGGTGAATAAATTATGGAAAGCAGTCTGATTCCAGTTCACTCTGGTTTGTTTGTCTACTATCTACTCCTCAGATCCCTTGAATTCTTATTGCAATGCTTAGAAAACGTGTGAGGATGTCATGGTCAGACAATGTGAATGTGTCCTTTCAGTTCCCTGAAACCACACAAATAAAAGACTTTTAAAGGTGCATGTAAAAAATTTATGAGGTCCAATGCAGAAGGGTGTAGGGGAACATTGACTTTTGAACCTACTCAAGTTTCCCACTGGTCAGTTATTTTGAACTTACTAGTGTATTTCCAGCAGTAGAAACAACTACAGCGTGTTCTAAGGTTTGTACTTTTCCTTCTTATTTGTTCTGCAGTGTATAATGTCATATCAGGTTGTTTAGTTGGGTTTTGGGTTCTGTTTTATTTGTTTTCCTTTATTATTTAGATCAGCTATGTTTTGGTTTTACTTTAGTTCAATTCTTCTTAGTGGTTCTAGTTTTGTTTAATTCTTCTAATTATTCTTAGTTACTACAGTTTAATTATTTCTTGTGTGCATAATTCTGTAGAATTTAATTTATTTTCTAGTCCCCGGTGCACTTTCAGTTACCCCCTATGCCTATCTCTTTCCCTCTCCTCAGCCTGCCTCTTACTCCCTCCACTCCCAACTGATTTAATGAGCCATTCGCAGTTTCACTGTACCGGCCGTGTGTACTTAGACTTGCATGGCTTAATCTTTGAGACAAGCATGCTACTGACAGGATCAACCAGGTTATTCTGAGACATAACTCAAGATCATTTTATTTTCTTTGGTCTTCTGCAGTAGAATGGGCAAGTAGATAATTTTATGTTTTTTAGACCAAATGTCTGACCTCATATTCAGAGTAATGGGTAATACCTTCACTCCCCAGTATTTAAGCCTCTCATTCTCACTCCCTGCCTGCCTGATCCTTTCATCTACTCCTCGATCCTCCCTTTTGTTTGTCCTTGCTGGTTTCCTTATTTTGTAGATTTGATTTTTGTTCTGTTTCCTTGTTTCCTCATGGATTCCCCCTTTTGTCAAATTCTCCTTATCTATGGAATTTGACAAAATGTAATGTTTATTGCTTGTTTTATAACTGTTTACAGTTTTATCATATAAGGACCTTTGAACCACCATATTGCTGAAATGTGCTCCACAAATAAACTTGTCACTTTCGCATTGCAGGATTCACCTGATCAACAGCCAGATATTATACTGGCAATTTCCAAAGACAGCAGGAAGTTGTAGGAGAATGATGGTTTGTGTTGGTTTTTTTTCTGGGCAATATGCAGCTGGCTGCACCAGAGTTCTCACAGCATCATACACGTCTTAAAATTTTGTGACATTCCAATGTGTTGTATCCATATCTCTTCTGTAAAATCTCGACAGTTTTCCCGAAACTCTGCGAATGTAGCCGCTCCCGAGGATAAGGGGCCCCAATGCCTAAAAAGACGCCTTTGGCTGTACATGAGTTATCATGTGGACAAGCTTACTCACTTGTGATTTTAATGGAATAACTGCAATTGTGGAATTGTATTTTTTCAACATTTACAGAGTACTGACAGATAAGGTATCTGTATTGAAAATATGGCTAATGTGGTCATCAACATCCTTGGACATTCAGTTGAAGCATCTGGATCACAGCACCAACTTGTAATGGAAAACAATATTCAAGCATTGTTAAAATAAAAATCACTCAGTCAGAGACAGATACTCACAAATGTTTGTTTCATGGATTTTTACGTAATCAAGAAAAAGTACAAAGAGTTACAGAGTGTAGGTCAGCATACTCCTTGCTGCCCTGCAAAAACACTTGGAAGAGATGGTTCCTCATCTCACTGACAGTCATCACCTCATAAGCAGGAAATTAACTTAAGAACTTCGTTTTCTAAACACTGTAAATGTTACAGTCTGGTTTTACATCAATCATCAAATATGCAGTCAGAAAACAGACTTAAGTCTGGAAATAAAATGTCAAAGCAACATATTGTAGAAAAATAGCAAAAAATAATGTAATCATTAAATGCAAAATTATTTGTAAGATAATGAGCAAAATGGGTAAATGAAAATATGAATAAATAAGTATTAAATAATGAATATAAATGGAATAATGCAATGAGTTAATATGTAATTGTAAAATGATAACATTTTTCCAGTGGAAGCAGAAGTAGATATGATTAACAGAACATGAATCGAAGATCTAAATTCAAAGCTTTCATATCAATCAATCAAATTTTATTTGTATAGCACATTTCAGCAGCAGGGCATTTCAAAGTGCTTTACATCATAAACACAAAAACACAAAGTTATGCAACATAGAATAAACAACATTGTTACATATTACATTTCAAATGCAATTCTAAACAAGTGTGTTTTTAGTTGAGATTTAACAGAAGATGTTACAGAAATACTGTGAAAATATTTTTGTTAAAAAGGATAAAAATACATTTAACTAAAATGTTAACCATATTTTCCAATAATTGTATAGATAAAATGTACAATAAACATATTGCTATGTAAGACTGGTTCTTTAGAGAAAAAAACCCAATTTATTTAAACATCTCAGACATATGCTCAGAAATAACAGAAAAATAGGTATTAAATCTTATATGATTCTGAAGAGAACTGTAGACATTAACTGAGTTATAACATTTGAGAAGTTGAACATCTTCATAAAACAAAACAAGAGTTAACATGTTTTCGAAACATAAAAGTACATAATTAAATCTTAAAATGAAACATTACAAAAACATGTTCTGAGACATGTACTGAACATGATGATAAACAATTATGTACACAATAAAATGAAGAGTAGGTTATTCTGAGACATAACTCAAGACCATTCTATTTGGTCTTCTACAGTAGAATGGGCAAGTACATAATTTCATGTTTTTTTAGACCAAATGTCTGACCTCATATTCAGAGTAATGGGTAATACCTTCACTAATTACTCAATATTTGCTCAATCAAATGTCGTGAAGCTAGATCTAAAAAGCCAGAATGATTTGCAATAATTTCTAATTTATGTTCCTAACATTCTTAAAGCATTAGCCTTGATTCTTAGCTGCTTATCCAGGTTCAGTCTGCAGGGTCTTTCTGTGTTTCTAGTTTTCATATTTGATGTCATATGCAAGGGGTCCGTTGATGGCAAACCCAATGTAGAAAGAAACCTTTTCTGTACTGAAACCACTTATTAGTCCAGGACTGATCCGTGCTGGACGTACTGGGATTTTTTGTTTGCCATAGTTAGCGTAAACCTCCCCATGCTGAATGGTTCCATTCACTCTGTAAAGTCGGTTGATGATTGCATTTTCTTTAAATATGTCTCCATCTCTCCAAAGTTGTGCTAAGGCATCTCGAGTCATCTTCCTTAGAAAACTCTCATCCAGTGAGGGTTTTGAAACCAGCCTCTTCAATCCTTCTCCTTTACCCAAGTAAAAGTAAGCAATGGTGCTCCTCTTTTGAAGTAACTTGGACAAGTGCTTACGAGAAGACTGCCGAATTGCAGTTAGATAATTTGCTATATCTGTATTTTCTTCTGAAGGACTTGGCCAGAATAACAACAGAGCCAGAAAATATGGATCTGGGAAAGGATGTTGAAGTCCTACGTCTTGCAGAATTTCTCGAAGAAGAGTACAGAGGTCACTGTATTTCTTTACATGCTTAGATTTTGCATTCAGGTGGTAAAGATTTATGTTTGACATAATGTAATTGATTTTTATTTTTGAATGATTTCTCTCATGGACAGTGTTTTGTAGTAAAAATGCATAGCATTCTGTGATCTGCTCTGTCTCTTCAGCAGGCTTATCCATACACTGAAGTACTCCAGAGAAAGTATCTGCTTGACACGTCTCCAAAAATCTTTTACGTTCTTCAATATTCAATTTCTGGTTGAGGTTGGTTTTGACTTTTTGTTCTTTTCTCCTTTCATCTGGAGTGGCACAGAAAAGGTCTACATACTTTTTAAAAAGTTCACTTACTGTCCTGTGGTTGGTTTTGTCATACTCAGAGTTCTGTTTGATGTAGACAAAGTAGGAATCTAGAAAATCAAACCTTTCTTTGACATCAGTTTTAAGTTTGGTGAGAAATGGCTCATGTTCACTGATGATTTCAACATATCTGTTGTTGATGTCAGTGTTTTCTCTGTGAACACTGTTGATTGGCATTGATTTGTTAAGAAAACTTCGCAAGTACTGTTTTTTAAGAGGATCATCTTTTTCAAAGAAAGGTAATCTGCTCAGTATGTCAAAGATCAGAAAAGAGATTTCCAACATGCTGATGTGACCGTAAACATTGTACCATTTTCTGGGATAGTCCTCTGACTCATCATCAGCTGTTTCTTCTTCTCTTTCATTCTCAAAGTCTGACAGTTCCTGAGCTCTTTGGAAAGCCTTCCAGCCATTAATGGCTATTTCAATATTTTTGTGCAAATTTTCTGGGTTGCGTGTGTTCTCTTGCTTTTCTCTTTCAATGTTAGACTTCAGATTGCTTTTGTGGATTTGTCCGATTGTATCAAAAGTGAAGGGATTATTTTTAATGTTCTTAGCTTTCTCTGCCCATATTAAGGCTTCTGGAAAGTCACGCACATTGATGTACAGATATCTTGCCAATGCCTGAGGAATAGATGAAAGCTTCTCAAATCTGGATGATGCAGTCTCAAAGATCTCTTGGACAGTTTGTCTCCCCTCCTGGCTGTGGATTTTTTCTATCAGAGGAGAAAATGGTTCCCTCTCCTCTCCATCTTTCTTTCGCTTTCGTCTTTTTATCAGCATTTGTATAATAAAGAGCATGAATTTGTGTTTCACGCCAGCACTGAAAAACAGATCGCAGTGAAGAATCTCCTTAACAATATCACTGACTTTCAGATTATGACTCCTCTCCAACTCATCCAGACAGGCAGAAGCTATTGCATGATGAAGAATTCGAATTCCTTTGTATTCATCCCAATCATTCATCGAGTCTACGATGAGGAAGTTGGAATATGGGTTCATTCTGTCTAAAACACAGTCTTCTTCCCAGCGAATCATCTTCATCTGAAGGAAATCCTCACAGAGTGACAGAGCGATTTCTGATTTTTCAGCATATGTTTTGAGTAAGGCCAGAAAGGAAAAGAGCTGAGCCGCTTTGGTGCTAAAGTCAAAGTGATTCAGGGTGTTAAAAGCAAGATTTTCTGTGTATGTCTTGTCAAAATTGTTCTTCATGAACATGAAGCTGTAAAAGTTTTCTGGTTTCTCATGGGTTTCTTGGAGATCTTTGAGTTTCTTTTCAAACTCCTTCTGTTCTTCTGGTGTCAGTTTTGCAGTTATGTACTGGTTTTGGGTTTGATTGTGCTGCCTGTATTGCTCTTTAGGATTATGTGAACGAACACAATTGAGGATGACAACTTTGCAATGTTGACCCTCATCCAGATTAAAGTCCAATAAATCTTCAACTGCCAGACGGATGCAGTTGACTAGATCAGAAGGTGTTTCTGTTTCTTTTGATTCATCAATCAGAAGTAAAACTGGTGACAGTTTCTCACTTTCCAGTTTCATCAGATGTTGGATCTGGTTGGCCACCTCAGTTTTTGGCAACATGTTGTCTTTCAGAATTGCACATCTGAACTCCTTACGCAGCTCCCACATTGCATGCATTGCTAAGGTGGTACCACCACATCCTGGGTCATGAAATAGATTCAGCAGAACACAGGCCTTTCTTGAATGTGCCTTTTGTGATCTAATCATTTTCTTCACATTGTCATGCTTTTCTCTCTTTATAAATGGCTTCTCTTTGTCTTTGTCACAGAAGTAAAAGTTCCACCAACTCACTTTGGCTCCTCTATAGAACTCCTCCTCAACCTTGATTCTGAATTGATCAAATTCTGGACTGCTTTCATCAAAGACATTTTCACACTCATTTGAGGCAAGAACTTTCAGAGCTGTCAGTAGATCTTCGTCTTTCTGTTTTAGGACAACATCACTGGAACCAGAAGAAGGAAGCAGACGTGTACATGACTGGGTAACTGGTCCCAGGCCCATTATGGTCCCATTGATCTCACTCAGAGTTAGTTCATTTATGGACAAATGCTCAATGTCAAAGTCACACTTTTCTTGAATAAGTTTCCTCCATTTACAATATGTATCTTGAGATTCACAAATACAGATAATGTTTTTCTCATCTGTGTGTTTGATAAAAGATTTGTAGGTGTCAAATACTGGATCTTTCTCAGTGGACACAGGGGAAAGGAGGAGGAATATGATCAGCCATCTGCCTTCAAGAAAAACGTCAGGGTTGCAAATAAAGGAAACTAAATGGTCAACATCTTTGCAAGATTTCCTCAACCACTCTCTATACTCTAGTTCTTTGTCTCCTTCGAGGTCATTTCTTCCATTACAGAAGACCCAGCTGGTCTGGAGGTTGAGGTTAAGGTCTTTTTTTACAGACTCTATTTGTCCCTGAAATTGTACTGGCAGATGCAGATTAGCCACCCTTGACTCTCTGTATGAATTACACAATCCACCAGAAGAGAGCGAGTTTGGGTCAAAGTCCAAGACACAAAACAGTTTCAGCTTACTCAGAAAGTTGAGGTACTGAATTTGTTCTTGTCTGCTTTTGTTTACAACAACAACAAATCTGGCATAATTGTCTAGTGAATTTCCACCACAAGTTAATAACATCTTTAGTTTCTCTCCTTGGTTAGCTTCTGTCTTCGTGTAATTTCTGGAAAGACACTGCTCTGGTGGACCTGAAAACAAAGTGAAAAGTGATTCTTAAACAGTGCAAAGGGCCATACAAATACAAAAAATAAATCAAGAAGCAAAATTTACTTGGATATCTGGTGTACTGCAGTATGGCGGTTACTCTATTCAAATGATCTCATCAGCCTGGACCAAGTGCAACTGAAGAGCCATATCAGTTCACTCCTTTCATTTAGTCCGTTATCTTATTCTTGGATTTTGTTCTTTGTCCATTTTTTCCTTAGTGATACTCTTTCTCTAGGTTTACTGTTTATGTCCACTTCAGATTCCTCATATTGAGTCTGCTTCCCATTCTTATATTCACACTGACCACTAATAATAATACAATTCACTCATCTGCACTGCCTCATCATCCCTATATATGTCATCTGATCCAGCACTCAAAGCTCCTAGTCTGCTTTCATGCCCTGTTTCACACTTTGTTCCCTGTCATGTTCCGAGCTCTGCTCCATGTTCCAATTTTTGCTGTTTCACATTTCTATTCCTGCATTTTTTTTAAAGTTTTGTCTTTATCATTACAATCTTGAGTTGTGCCTCACTTTTGTGGATGTCTGCAGATTAGCGCTTTATCTTCACCACAAATCAGGATACATGGTCCACCACACAGATTATTAAGTGACCAGACAAGTGAATTAAACAATAAAAAAATAAGACATAGCTGAACATTTTAGCATTCAGATTAAAACCATTACATAGACAGATCATAGAGCAATGACTTTCTGAAAAAACCTGTCAAATATTCAGTAAACTACTATGTTGTTTTTAACTTCCTTGTACAAGCAAGAAATTTAATTGCCTTTGGATGAAAGTGCTATATAAACAAAGTTTCCTAGAGACAAGTCTGACTAGAAAATGGGTGTGGATTTGAAGAAAATGAAGTATGTGCACAATGTATATCAATCCCTACCAACTTGTCGTTGAACAAGATTCAAACCTTCAATCCTTATCTATAGACCTTCTGCTTTTAAAACTGACAATATTTACAGCTCAACACACTGCAACGTTTCACACAATGAGAAAAGCTTTCTTCTGAACATATGCCATAATGTATCAGTCTTCTATTTCTAGTATTTTTGTATTTATTTCTCCTAGATTATTTGTCAGACTTTTTATTCCCTTTTCAGCTCCTGCATTTTATTATTTATATTCTCTGAGTGCCTGTTTGCCTTCATTCACAGCTATGCCGTTTCCAGACATTTTTATCATTAGCAATAAAACTTCCATGTATTTAAGCCTCTCATTTTCTGAGGGGCAATTTAGGACAAAACTATATTTTGTCTCACAAACTACTAAAGACTCATACACACACGCACACACAAAATATTAAAATTGTGCATATTCACTATTAAAATATCACATGCATACAATTTTTCTCTCACATGCACACATAAAAGACTAGGTGTGCACATATACACTGAAACAACTAAAATATCACACACACAAAGCATACGTACTATTCTGAATGATAGGTCAAAAATGTATGTGTGTGAACTAACTTGAATGAATGAATGGATGAATGAATGAATGGGGATAAGACTTTTTTGTGTAAGAGAAAAATTTTTATATGTGTCTCTCACAGAGAGTTGTCACAGGAGAGGTGGGGCATAATTTAAAGATCAGATCGCACATTGAAAAGAATAAAAAAAAGTATAAAACTTAGGCCAAATAGTACATTTAGAAGTGTTTCCAGCAATAGATTTTTTTTCCCCCACAAGAAACCTGTGTTGACTGACACTTATCACTTTTTTTTTCCTTGTTAAAACAGTTGATTACAAAATATTTAAAAACAGAAATGTAAAATATTTTATACTTTGTGTGAATCTTTAAATTTTGTTTATAAAACATGTACAAGGCTTATGTAAGTTGTCCATAAGTTACCTACCTGTGTCTGTTTCCAGCTGAAGAGCAAGTTGACGCTGCCCAATCTTTTTCAGAAGCTGTATTGTGACACGTAAAGCCTCCTGATTCCCAAAATGGCTGGTCAATAACTGGGCAGTGTCTACTCTGTCTTTGTTCTCAAGAGCCCCCAGGGGAATAGAGTTATTTTCAACGTTTTTGTATTCTAATAAATGGAATTGAAAGTTTTTAAAGTCGTCTCCCCTTAGGTTATCCAAGTAGTCCTTAATCACAGTGCTCTTTGATGACTCTGGCTGGAGTTTCACCTGGTTAGGAAGAAAGAGTCACCATAAGTTGAGTAAAATGTTGTACACAGCCCAGCCATAATTGAAATTGTGAACCAGCTCAATCATCATTTTTGCTAGAAAATAAATTCATACATGGCAAATATTGTATGAATACGTATAATAGAGTAAAAGCCAAGACAAATATGCTTCTGATTTTGTGTCCGTTCTCATTCATTGATGGTAAGACAGAAATAAGTAGCTTGTTCAGTTTTCTTTTTTGGTTTAAAAAGCTCTTAAGTTCATTCCAACTCCAGACTGTATTTTGGTCCAACCACAAAACCACAACTCATCGCATCTTATATTGTGTCTGAGCTAGCATTTTATGCATGTTGATTTCATGTTATGTTTAGCAGAGCATAACAGAAAATATGAATCATTTGTAACTTTACCTCTGCAGCTTTGTGTGTTCCTCCTACAGTGTTGCATTTTGTTGTCTCCACTTCTTTTTCTGTCAAAGTTTTTTCAGACTGAGGCTCTGATTCAGTTTTCTTCTTTGAGTCAGATTGTGTATTTTCTCGAGTTTGAGGCAGGGTAACATCGTCTCCCTCTCTATGGTCCATTAGTGGCTCAAGGCTTGGTTCTGGTCTGTCATTGAGCTTTTTCAGTTCTGCTAGAATCTTCACAGCGGGACCAGCTTTAATGTTTAGATCCAGAAAGTCCTGCTTCTTGAAACAAACCAGACAATCCCCAGAAACATCTTCCTCCAGAAGTTGTTCTACGTATTTTCTGTAAAGCTTCACGTGTTGAAGGAACCACTGACTCACCTGCTCCTTGGTCCATGTGCTTACATATGCAGGATATTCTGACTTATGACCTGATCCTTCAATCAGACTTGCCACATAACAAGAGATCTTCACAGCAGGACCATGCTTGAGCCCTAACTCCAGAATGTCTGTCTTTCCAAAGTGGACTAAATATTCTCCTGAAACCTCTTCTTTAAGGAATGTATCAGCGCAACTCTGAGAAACTTTGACTTCTTTTATAAGCCAGCGATGAACATCTTCCTGGCTCCAGGCCTCAATTTCTGATTGGCTCATTTTGAACCTGAGAAGAAATTTATGACAGACAAAGAAACAGATATTCAAATGTGCAAGGAACAAAAAAGAGGAAATTGTTTACATAAATTTGTTGTGGTTCTATGATTGCTACACTGCCAAGCAGAAGATGCTGTAAAAAGGAAAGCAATCACAAGTGGCACAAAGAGGACCATGTACTGCTTATTGATTTCCCAGGAAATAAAAGCAACGGGAGCATTATAGAAAATGATTAAAACTAACTTCACCTAGCAAAAATTAAACTTTGCTAAAATTACTTAAATATATCATCTTAAATAATTATTAAATACAATGTCTGAAGTTCGGAATAAAAGCTAGAGGGGTGTAATGCAAAACTCCAACAAATAAAATGAAATGATTAAATAGCATGAATTAAAGTAAAAAATCAGTGTTGGTGACAAGCCGGGAGAAATGGTGCACTAATCGACACAGTCCAAGGGGAAGACCACAGGTCCACTGGACAGTATTTTTGCAAAAAATTGTAGTTTTTAGCTTATCGCATTGTTTACTTCCTGGTTCGGTAAAGCGGTCCTAAAAAGTCACGCCCACACAATCTATAAATAAATGAAATTATAAAAAAACTGTTTATAAAAGCCCACAATGACGGCCAGAACTACAAAATAACACACTAACAAACAATAATAATCCATACATGGTAGAGGCCTCAACATGAACAACAACATCCATACAGAAAACAAACATATCGCAGCAGCGAACTTTCCTCTAACTTACCCACAGCAGCTCGTAACAAAGCTGAGAGGAAAATGGGGAAACCGGAAGAGCAACAAGGGCTGGAACGAACTACGGAAGCCCAGGAGATACAGATGAAGGCGACCCCCGCAGACAAAAACAATAAAACAACAAATAAAAATAATTGAATAAGATAAAATTCACAAATTCTCAATATGAAATGAATTAGCTACAAATGTGCTTTTAAAAAAAGCACATATTTTTAAAATGTGCTTTTTGACCTTTTTTTTTGCTAGAAAATAAATTCATACATGGCAAATATTGTCCAAATAGGTATAATAGAGTAATATTATACTCTATTAAATGTGCTTTAAAAAGCAATTTTTTTTAAAATGTGCTTTTAAAAAAAGCACATTTGTGACTTTTACACCTGTACATTGCAGGATTACAGTAACACAGGCCTGTTCTCTGTTTGCTGATGGGACGAAGGAAAATAAACTTAAAAACAAAACGAGCCGCATTAAGACCTGGATTAACAGTGACAGTCAAACGGGGTCCTCAACGCAGATGTTTGTAAAAAAAAAATTAGGTTGTGTGTCGTTTCCTGATCAAACGCACCAAATTTACATTGAAAACAATAATAATCATTTGCATGTGAAGGAATATATCCAGATCTCATCAAAGTATACCACACAAGTGAATATTCTTTTTTTAGACAATAAAATAAAGTGGTCCAAAATGTGAATTAGACAAAATCTCTTGTTATAACATACTTATTATTATTATTTATTTTTTTAAAGGCTTAGCTTAACCCACCTGAATCACTTGCCTGTCTTCTTCCTCTTGAAGCACAGAACAAGTCTGACAGTCAAATCTTCAGTATGAAAAGATACCATTGCTGAAGCACACTTTTTAAAGTTTTGACTCTGTAAAACTGACCTGCGAACAACTACTTTTATAAACTTCCATGAAATGAAACACTGATTCATATTACTTCCTGTTTATCTGTTTTGGATGTTGAATTTGTTTGCGGAGCGATGTTTGATCAACATATACCATTTGAATCCCATATTAAGCAGGTTTTTAGGACTTCCTTCTTTCACCACTGGAATATTACCAGTGAAAATAATTCTAATGATAATTGCCAGTTGGATAGTGTTGACTGTGTTAGAAATATTTAGTATATTATCTTATGTTTGCTGTGTTCTTATGTTCACTGTATTTGTTGTGTGAAGTTAAATGATTAAATAGCATGAATTAAAGTAGAAAGTCAGTGTTCAAAGTCCTTTGAGACCAAAAATTAAAATTACTTCAGCCTGTATGACACTTCATGCTTCAATCAGAGCTGGAAGTTTTTCGGTTCCTGCCTTGCAGTTGCAATTACTGAACTCACTGTCAATCCATAGGTGTAACATGTCTGCACTCAAGATAACAGAAGAAATAACTCAAGAAATAGCAGTGCTACGTAACTGACTTGAGATACCAAAAATGATCTTTGTAACCAGGGACCGCCCCTAAGGAAATAAAAAGGGAGAATATGGCAGAATGTGCTTCAGAGCAGCAAGAAATTGTAACAGATAAACATTTCTGTCTGTCTCTCCTTGCAAGTAAGAATATTGCAAGTAAAATCTAAACTCTTGTCTTCCTCCTTTTTGTGTGGCGTTTAAATTTTTTGAGTTGTTTGAACCTGACAGACTGTATTCTTTGTAAAGCTCATGTTCAGAGATTGGAACATTAATTTGATGTTATTTTTGGCTATAAACTAAAAATCACGGTACATTTCTGTCTCAACAGATGACAATATAGTATTTAGACTGAATGTTGGAAATGAACATTAAGGATGATGGTGAGGCAAACATGGTGGCCCAGTTTGACGTGAAATGATGGTTTAATGATGAAAGACACAATAGGAGAGATAGTGAAATATGTGCATCCCAAGAAATTGAAATGAGTGCAGCATCTCCACACAGACATTACTGATCACCAAAGGATGGGGATTCCTAAAATCAGCTACCAGTTCTTTTGCTTTAAAAGCATTAAGCAACATGATGAGGAGCATCATGAACTTCATCTCTCCAGGCTGAGTCAGCACTGTCTCTAATCAGACCAGTGCTTCTCAATTATTTTCCGTTACGCCCCCCCTAGCAAGAAGAAAACTATTCGCGCCCCCCACTCCCCACCGTGACTATCCATCTCTGCATAAAATTTTTTCCTTAACATTTTTTTTTTTTCGCTGAAAAAACTCTGGCGGCTTATCCGCGTGATTGGGATGTAACGTGTTTAAGTGACGCGCTAATTTATTTGGCTTCATGCTGTCCGCTGCGAGCATTTTTAGACACAGCAAACACAGCGGTCTTTCCTCTTCTCCAACTGTAGTCACAGTGAAGCCAAGCGCTAAATACGCTTCGTCGTATTTCTTCTTCTTAGCTTTCGGTTGACTTTCTGTTGTCTCATTATCTTTGTCTCTCTCCGCTTTTCTTTTCATCCCTGTGAAAAACTTTTTCATGTTGGGGGTTGTTGAATAACGGAGGCCAGAGACAGAACGCAGTCGGAGCTTTTTGTTGACTTAACACTGCTAACCAAGGCAAACCTGTTGTCTTGTAAGTCGTAAAATGTTGCACTGTCGCAAACGTGACAGAAGTAACAATGAGAGCGCCACTGCCACCTACTGTGCGCAATTACACTTTATACTAGTTCGGCCAAAAAAAAAAAAAAAGCCTGTTCCCCAGGATCACACGCGCCCCCCCAGCTATCGCACCGCGCCCCCCAAAGGGGGCCCGCCCCACTATTTGAGAAGCACTGATCTAGTGTAACATCACATCGCTACACACGCTCTTTTAGCTCGAGATAAATTGTTTAGATGAGCCACAAAAAGAGCTCCACAATTTTGCAACTTTTATGGTTTTTGGTTTATTTTTTTAATTTCAAGGAAATGTGCAACATTTACAGATGTGTTCCAAAGATCTGATCAAAATGTTTTTGTTAAGATGTGAAAACAGTGTTGGTATCTCAAACATTAAACTCAGAATCTCAGATGTAACGTTTGTTTGAGAAAACGGATGAAAAATGAGTTTGGGGTTATTCTTATAATTAAATTATTTTTATTTATTTTTTTTAAAGGGCATATTTGCCATACAGAGGCCTTGATAAATAATTAAAATGGGAGGAAATGTTTTAAAATGTTCATGTGTTAAATTTCATTCAGATAAAGTGTCATTTTAAAAGTAATTAGAAGGTGTTTTGTAGTGGCAGTTGTTTGTGTGTGGGTTGATTATGGGGGGGGGAGGCTGACATTGTGTTCCTTGGAGGGGGGGCTCACCCTTTCATACTTTGAAAACCCCTGCTTTATATTATTTAAATATTAAAGAAGAATACTAATATATTTCTGTCAAAACAAGATTATGTAGTCCCTGGTTATCAAAAGGGTTATTTTTAGTAAATAAACATTTACCTCAAGTTTTGTAGTGACCTATTAAAACTTTTATTAATCCGAACATATAGTTAGTAACCTCCGTATAACACTGGGATACAAAGGTTTTATCAAAGATAAAAGTTACTGTGTGATCTTTCTCTTAGTCTTAATTTACTAACAAATTCAAGATGAACTGAACAAAAAAAGTGCAATTCAACATGAAAACTGTGTAGAAAAGGGAAAAAACAAGAACAATCCATGAAAGTATGAAAACAGAGAACTTAATCAGAAATCATTTCCGTTACAGCAGTGCTTCTCAATTATTTTCCGTTACGCCCCCCCTAGCAAGAAGAAAACTATTCGCGCCCCCCATTCCCCACCGTGACTATCCATCTCTGCATAACATTTTTTCCTTAACATTTTTTTCGCTGAAAAAACTAGCGGCTTATCGGTGATTGGGATGTAACGTATTTAAGTGACGCGCTAATTTATTTGGCTTTATGCTGTCCGCTGCGAGCATTTTTAGACACAGCAAACACAGCGGTCTTTCCTCTTCTCCAACTGTAGTCACAGTGAAGCCAAGCGCTAAATACGCTTCGTCGTATTTCCTCTTCTTAGCTTTCGGTTGACTTTCTGTTGTCTCATTATCTTTGTCTCTCTCCGCTTTTCTTTTCATCCCTGTGAAAAACTTTTTCATGTTGGGGGTTGTTGAATAACGGAGGCCAGAGACAGAACGCAGTCGGAGCTTTTTGTTGACTTAACACTGCTAACCAAGGCAAACCTGTTGTCTTGTAAGTCGTAAAATGTTGCACTGTCGCAAACGTGACAGAAGTAACAATGAGAGCGCCACTGCCGCCTACTGTGCGCAATTACACTTTATACTAGTACGGCCAAAAAAAAGCCTGTTCCCCAGGATCACACGCCCCCCCAGGTATCGCACCGCGCCCCCCAAAGGGGGCCCGCCCCACTATTTGAGAAGCACTGCGTTACAGGAAGAAATCAATTCTTAGATAAATAAATTGTAATAAATATGAAGCTTTTATGTTGTTGAGCTTATAGTTGTCTGCTTGTATAAAAGAGAAAAAGAGGCTTAGAAATGCCTACATCAGTTTTTTAACCAGCTTTATAGTCAGACTGCAAATTATGTTTGTTTAGGACATTACTTATAGGCTTTGTTTGTCAACCTGGGTTTAATTCCCAGTCCTGGGGAATCTGCTGCATGTCATTCCCTCCTTTATCCTCCCAATTTCCTGTTCAATCACTGTAAAATAATGGCTACTAGAGTCTAAAACTTTATTAGAGCCTATAAAACTTTTTACAAACTAAACAAATGGACCAAAAGTCAGAATATGATTACCTCCACATTGTGCTCGTTTCCTCATGTTAACAACTTTCTTCCATTTTCTCTTTTCCTACATAATTAACAGGTTATTTAATACACACACACACACACATTTACACGTCCCCTCCATGGCTGCTATCTTATCGTTGTGGGTTTGAGTGTCCCAGTGATCCAAGCAGTTATGCTGTCGGGGCTTCATGCCTCTGGTTGGGCCACCCGATGCGGACGGGTCCAAGTGAGGCACCAGACCAAGCGCAGCCCAAAGATGCCATATGATCAATAACCATTGGAAACAGGTTGTACTCAACCATACAGGAGATCCTACCCTTACGGAGGCCCTGAGGTGCAAACCACTTCAGCATATTGAAAGCATGATTACAAATTACATAAGCGCCAAAACATGAATGAAGGCACTAAAACGTTGACGAAATGGATCAGGTATGTCCCAGTGGGAGACCTAAGAAATGGCTGATTGCTCTGCGGCTCGTTTTTACTTTGAATCGGAAGTTATTCTGTCTTTAACGTGTTTTTATTAATAAACATGAACGTTCTCGGTGATATTAAAACGCTTTCATTAATGTTGTTGTGCTTTCGTTCATGTTATAGAGCTTTTGTAAATGTGGTTTCAATTTGAACCTCAGGGCCACCGTACACCCTGGAGCCAGGCTGGGGCGCTTTGGGAGCCCCTGGTGGCCAGTGGGTGATATGACAATAAAAATCCTTTAATCCCTGAACAATATCAACAATTTGTGCATCGAGAAATACACTTAGCATACATACTAAGGTAAATGTTATTTAATTTGGTTAAGAATAATTATCGTACTATCAATAAATGACTTCTAATGCATGTTGTCAGTTGCCAGAGCAACAATAACACCTTTATCAGCTCAGAGGTTCAAACTGATGAAAAGTGAGGATGGATGCTCTCTACTAAAATATTCCTCGCCATCTTCCATGTTCTTTCAGCAAACAGTGGAAACAGAGTTGTTTTTGGTTTCTCCACCATTGACCTGCTACTTTACCCGCCATTGAAAGTTTTATTAAAGTTTGTCTGCTAGTCTGCAGCTCATGTGACCAAAGCAGGCGAGGAGGTGAAAGGTTAAAACAGTCAACATTGTCTTGTTGGGAAACCCCAAGATCACTGGGAGTCTTAAAAGATACATTTGATTATTTTAGTTCATTTTTATCTACAAAGAGTGGTGCTGCAAAAGTTTGAACAATCGCAAACGGACTGATTAGTGTGAAAAGATGTTCAATATTATTTTATTTTAAACACTTATTGAATGCTGAAACACCGATTCATTGATATTTTAACAATTGAATTGGTTTTTATCAATGCAACCTGGCACAACATTCAGATTTTTGATCTGGGCCCAAATGGAAATGAGTTTGATGTCCCTGACATAAGACAAGAGAATCATGGACTATTTTGACTGTAAACAAGATATTTGGAGGTGGAATGATGTCACACCGCCAGCAAAGGGAGATTCTGTGATGTCACTGGCGATGCCGTCTGTGATGTCATCAACTGCAGAATTGTATGTAACACAATTCTGCATATTTGTCATTGCTCGCAATACTACTGACCAGTTCAGACGCTCGCAAACTCTGAGATATTTTATTGACGATTTCATTGATAGTGTTTGAGAAAATGTCTCAGAAAAGTGCAAGATCAACGATGATGGGATTTAATCCAAGGAGGGGAAACCACCAACACCCCCAAGGCAGGAGCTCTACTGCCAACCCCGATAATATGGAAAGAGAGATCCATCGACTTAACGGCCTTTTGAACAAGGAAAAGGCCAAAAGGCTTTCAGTGAGAGAGAAACTGGAGGAAGAGCTCCAAGGGATGGAGTTCCAAGTCAAGAAGCAGGAGGAACTGAAAGTTGGCTATTTTGATCAGGCCTGCAGAGCGAAGGCCGAACTGGAAAGCCTGCAGAAGTTCAGAGACGTGGAAGTCCTGAAATTTGATGAGATCGCTTCTCAGGCTCAGATTGAAGTGAAAGATTTGGAGAAGGAAGAAATACAGCAAAAATATGAAAAGTGAGGGTCTCCTGCTCTCACACAGCTGAAGCTTTTATGGATGAACTTCATCAAGAGAAAGAAGAAAAAGGCCCTAGAGGAAGAAATCGCAATCCTGAAACAAGACCTGGAGCGATGCCAACAGGAGCTAAGGCAAGAAAAAGAAAATAATTTAGAAAACCTCTTAAAAATTAAGGAGCTGACCGACGAACTTAAAGCCGAGAGACAAAGTGCAGAAATCCAGAGAAAGCAAATAACAGAAGACAGGAGATTATATCTAGAGGACACAGAGGAGAAAAAGAAGCTCATCGACATACTGGAAATGAAAAACACTGTCCTGCAAAAAACATCAAAAGTTGAGATAAAATGCCTGCAGGACAAACTGAGCAACGTCATGGAAGAAGTAAAAAGTGGACATTTTGTATGAAGACCAATCAGATATGAAAGAGAAATCAGTTCACTTAAAAAATCAGCTGAACGAAAATTTAAAAGTTTTTCTGTGCAAAATATTGTTGAATCTTCGAACGATTTACCGTCAACCAACATGGCGAGTCCTCAAGAAGAAGAGGAAACATCAGTCGGCCATGTTGACCCGATTGATGAATCAAATGACAACATGGATTCAGACGAGGAACAACCTGGACAACCTGAACCACAACTAGAACCAGAACCAGAACCAGAACCAGACCCAGAACAAGAACCAGAACCAGAACAAGAACAAGAACAAGAACCAGAACCACAACAAGAAACAAACCAGAACCAGAACCAGAACAAGAACCAAAACCAGAACAGGAACCGGAGCAAGAACCAGAACCAGAACAAGAACCAGACCCAGAACAAGAACCAGAAGCAGAACCAGAACCAGAACAAGAACCAAAACCAGAACCAGAACCACAACAGGAACCGGAACAAGAACCAGAACCAGAACACGAACCAGAACCAGAACAAGAACCAAAACCACAACAAGAACCAAAACCAGAACAAGAACCAGTACCAGAACCAGCACCAGAACCGGAACAGGAACCGGAACCAGAACCAGAACAAGAACCAAAACCAAAACCAGAACAAGAACCAGAACCGGAACAAGAACCAGAACCAAAACCAGAACAAGAACCACAACCAGAACAAGAACCAGAATCAGAACCAGGTTGTTCTAAGGACTCTGACACCATTGAGAAAATCGTGACTCAAGAAGAAAGTGATTTTCAGGATATAGATGGTAAAAAGAAACCGAAAAAAACTATCTGGAAAAGAATAAAAAGATTTCTAGGTTTTAAATCAAAGAAAAAAAAGAATTAGAATAAGGATATTAATTTGGTATTTATCAAAAACTTTATAGTTTCAAAGTTTTAAAACTTTATGGTTTTAAAACTTTATGGTTCTAAAACTTTATAGTTTTAAAGTTTTAAAGTTCTAAAACTTTATGGTTTTAAAGTTTTAAAACTTTAAAGTTTTAAAACAAAGTTTTAAAGACAGAACTTTGTCTTTAAAAAGACAGTTTTTCCCCGATTGACAATAGATCCTCCCAACCCAACAGAAAAATGGTGGCAGCACGGTGGCGCAGCGGTTAGCGCTGCGTCTTCACAGAGACCATCTGTGTGGAGTTTGCATGGTCTCCCCGTGTTTGCGTGGGTTTTCCCCGGGCGCTCCGGTTCCCCCACACCCTCTAAAACATGCAGGTCAGGTCAGTTGGTCACTGCAAATCGTCCCCAAAACAGTTTATAAACTCCAACAATGTTCAGTTTTATTGTTAAACTTGTGAAATTAATTGGCATTTTCCCTCCATTTTCCAGGGGTCAGTTGAGAGAGTGGATAGAGGTTTGATAGTTTGGATAGCAGAGTTTGGATAGTGGTTATTTAGTTTGAGACAGTTAGTTTGGTGTTTGGAGAGTTTAGGAGAAAGAGAGAGAGATCGGAGATTTAGGAGCGTGTCTTTTCAAAGGCTGGAGAAGTAGTGTCAAAAAAGAGGAATAGTTTGAAACCAAAAACTGTGGAGAAATTGTTGTTTCTTAATAAAATGCATGAAATCATCCAAGTTACACAAGCATTAGCCTATTCACTGCCCCCTCCCTAGTTCCACAAGCACTTTCACTGTCCTCTGCCTGATTAAGCCATTTTTCTAGAGCCACAGATAAACATTATTACACAACATGCCATATCACATGACACGACTATTTGGAGAAAAATTACACAGAGAATACATTCAACAATATTTTATTGTACATATATGTATGTACATAATTTATGTAGACAAATTATTTCGTCCTACACCTTTTGTGACGTCATTCCCAAGAGCCATAATAGACAAATATTCATGCATCACACGTGTTGAGATACAGCTGGCTGTGATTATACACCTGGCCAGTAGGTGGTTTCGTGAGCACATGAAGCTTCAAGAAATGAACCCTTTCTCGAACCATTTGGATCAAGTGGTTCAATGCCTCATGAGGCTTCATCTCACCATCACTAGTTTTCATACCAAACATGAAAAACGTGATTTAACACGTTTAGACTTTTTCAGGTTCCAGTTAAATTAAGATTAGAGTTAAATCTGTACATGGAATTAGATGATAATTGTAATCATAATTTAATAATCTGGACCGTGAAGAAGCCCAAAGTTGTTGTATCTTTGATAAAACAGGTGTAACACCTTCTTCCATTCTATGTAAAGAAACTAAAATGGAGGGTGCTGGGTTCCATGTACCTCCCGTACCCCAATTGTTGGGCGGCACCGATTACCTAATTTATGACAAATATGACCCAGAGAAAGTTTAGAATTTTAGGCGAAATGGTTCAGCCTAACTTTATTAAACTAAAGTGACAGGAAACCTATTAGTTAGTCACCCCTATAACTTCAAAGTTGAACAACCATTCAATAATATTTACAAAACATAAAAATAAGGCAAAAAATATGAAGACATTAATGTCCACCTTTTGATTCCAATGAACCAGAACACAACAATCTTAAACAAATGTAACCCTGGCAGTTGGGTTACTCACG